ATGGGCGGTGGTGGAGGCAGCAGAGAGGACGTGTAGAAAGACATGGCACCACTGTGATCCGTGTCTGCTGCACGGATCATGGTGCTCGCTTGGGGTTCAGGGGGATGGAAGGAAGAGTGGATAGTAATAATAACAATCATCATCATCATCATCATCATCATCATCATCATCTTAATAATAATAATAATAATAATAATAATAATAATAATAATAATAATAATAATAATAATAATAATAATAATAATAATAATAATAATAATAATAATAATAATAATAATAATAATAATAATAATAATTTAAAAAAGAAACAAACAAACTCTCTAGTCATCCGCCCGAAAAGTGGCTGCTGACATGGATTCTGCAGATGGAACAGCGGAGAGTGGTTGACTGACTTAGAGCCGACTAAGAAAACGAGCAGTAGGACCTGGGCAATGGCGAGCAGTAGGACCTGGCAATGGCGAGCAGTAGGACCTGGCAATGGCGAGCAGTAGGACCTGGTAATGGCGAGCAGTAGGACCTGGCAATGGCGAGCAGTAGGACCTGGGCAATGGCGAGCAGTAGAGCCTGGGCAATGGCGAGCAGTAGGACCTGGCAATGGCGAGCAGTAGGACCTGGCAATGGCGAGCAGTAGGACCTGGAAATGGCGAGCAGGTTCATGAGTGACTCAGGATGACGTTGTCTCGACCCAGAAGGCTTCTGTTCTGATTCGATTAGAAGAATGAGCAAGCGGGCCAAGGCAGGGGCGAGCAGAGAGATGGAGAAAAAGAGAGAGAGAGACTGCTCACCAGAGAGCAGGTCTGCGCCGGCAGCGGTGCGGTTGGGGGGAACGTGATGCACGCTCTGCCACTCGTTGCTTGTGCCCAGCAGCAGAGGCACGTACAGCGGCAGCCCAGGTGGGCGGCAGGAGAACTCTGCGCTCACTGCAATGAGGCAGCCCTGCAGGCGCTGCTCCACGTGGTGCCGTAGTGCCGTGCTGTTGACTCTTAGCGCATAGCCCACAACTGCAGGACATGGGAAGGGGAGAGGGGAAGAAGGCGCTCACTGCAATGAGGCAGCCCTGCAGGCGCTGCTCCACGTGGCGGCGGAGAGCTGAGCTGTTGACTCGCAGGGCGTAGCCCACACCTGCAGGAGAGGGAATGGAGAGTGGGGGGAGAGGGTGGAGTGGGGAAGATGACGGTCACCACAATGAGGCAGCCCTGCAGGCGCTGCTCCACGTGGCGGCGCACGGCATAGCCCACAACTGCAGCAGGGGAGGAGGGGGGGGGAAGAGAGGGGGGGGGGGGGACAAAGGGTGCGTGCGATGGGTGCGATGGGTGCGATGGGTGCGATGGGTGCGATGGGTGCGATGGGTGCGATGGGGCAGCCCTGCAGGTGGCGCTCCTCCACATGGCGGCGCAATGCAGCACTGTGCTGCTTGGTGCAGCGCAGCGCGTAGCCCACAACTGGAGGCCGTGGGAGTTGCATGGTTGAAAGATGGACGCGATGGGTGGGTGGACGCGTGGATGGGGGGACGAGGGGATGGGGGGACGAGGGGATGGGGGGACGAGGGGATGGGGGAACGAGGGGACGGGGGGACGAGGGGATGGGGGGACGAGGGGATGGGGGGACGAGGGGATGGGGGGATGGCAGGGAAGGCAACTCACATGCAGCTAGTGGGCGGGCGTGCAGCGCGGAGGAGCTGAACTCAAGGAACTTGGACGGGCGGAAGAAACTCTCGCGCCTGATGGGCGAGAGGTGAGGGGAGTGACGGATGTAGGGGTAAAGAGGGGAAACAGGGAGAAGGGATGGGGGGCGCCGATGAAGTGAGAGTGGCGCAAGGGACTTTGGGGTGAGGGGGAGGAGCGGGAAGGAGGGGGGGGGGGGGAGGGAGGGCGGGTTGGGAGGGGTCAGGTGGGGGGAGATGGGGAGCAGGGAATAGGGACGCAGGCCAAATCTGAGTCGCTTTTGAGAATTCTCAAAAGCGACTCAGGGAATAGGGTCGCAGGGCGCGGGGCGTAACCTGTCGACGTACGACGGTGCTTGAAGCGCCTCACATGCGCACTAGTCGATGAACAGTAACCACAGCATGCCCGTCCCCATACACATTGAGCGTACCCATGAATTTAGTAGGCGTACCCATCGATATAAGGGGTACGGTGAAGTATGCGTATGACAGTTTATAAGATGCCTCGACTCGATAACGTACTTGCCAGTATACTCAAAGCGTACCCGTCGATATAGTAGGCGTGGACGAACTCGGCGAGCGCGCGCGTGTTGGCCTGCGTGGAGTTGAAGTGCGACTCGATGAACGCCGCCCACTCCCCGCACTGCCCCTCGCGCTCCGCCTGCTGCTCGCCCACCGCGCGCGCCCACACGATCGTGAAGATCACCGCTAGCAGGCCCACGCTCATCACCGCCCAGATCCAACACACGCGCTGGGATGACGGCGGGGAGGGAGTGGGAACAGGGGGCGGGGGAAGAGGGGCATTAGTGTTGGCCCAGCCTGCTACCGACTGGGTTAAAAGGACGTTTGTATGGTGGGTAGCACACCCATAACCCCCCTAGGTGTTGCTCCGCCACGGCGCGCGCCGAGGTGATTTTTGAGTCGACTCGAAAGAGGGGCATTAGGTTTTGCTCCGCCATGGAGCGCGCCATATGAACCTAAAGATGACTGGTAGCCCGTCGAGACTCGTGACGGCTCGGAAACGGGAGAGGGGGGGGGTGAGGGAGAGGAGAAGCGATGCGCGCGTCAGGCGAAGTTCGCCGGCAGCGGGCCCGCGCTCGTCCGCAGCGAAATTTGACAGAAGCGAGGAGAGACGGAGGATTGATGGTGCGACGGAAGCGAGGAGAGAAATGCTGCGTGTTTCACGGAGATGAGACGCCGTGAAACACGCAGCACTCGTCCCGCATTGATGATTCGTCGCGTGCGCGCATTCGTCGCATGGGCGAATTCGTGTCATGCGCGCATTCGTCGCGTGCACGCATTCGTCGCGTGCGCGCATTCGTCGCGTGCGCGCATTCGTTGCACGCGCGCGTCCGGAGTCCTGACGGTCAAGACCAAACACACGCGGCGCTGGGAGCCGGGAAGAGCACGCCTTGAGAGCATCCCGTGAAGCGCGGTTACCGCCGCCGGCCGCGATCGCGAGGAAAGAACCTACTTTCTCGCGGAAATAATAATAAGGGAAAAAAACAAACAAACAAACAATTGAAACACAGAACAATGCATTTGAACGTACCAGACGCCATGCGTGCGTAAGAGCGCGCAGCGGCCAGGAGAGAAACGACTCGACGGCAGATACCCAGGACTCCCTCGTGCTCCCGCTCAACTCCTCCTCCTCCTCCCCCGGCGCCTCTTCCTCCTCTTCTTCCTCCCATTCCTCGTCTCCTTCCCAGTGTCTATCACATTTCCTTAGCGCCGTTTTCTCGGTGTACCTCGTCCCCTTGCCGCATTTGCGATAACTCCGTCCACCGATTTCCCATCCATCGTCGCTCGAGGTGGATACATCGCTAGTGTCACCATCACCCGCGTCGTAAGCACGCGAAGCCCTCACGCCGCGTCGCCTTGCCGATTTCGGCCACAAACGCGAAATGCCTCCCCAAGCTTTCTTCCTCTTATGACCAACTCCGTAAGAGGTCACTAAATTGTCCACCTCGGAATTGTCCCGGTCGTTTCTCTCTAGAAGCTTCCTGTCCAGCCACGAGCTGGGAGGTTCCTGGTTGCTCTCGCCGCCATCTCGCCGCGCCGGGTCAGCAACAGCGAAATCGTAACCGTCGGAAGCTCCCAGGCTTGCGACAGCCGCACAGCTGCTGCTGCCCTCGCTACTAGTACCGGCGAAACCTTTCCGGTCGTCTGCGTTACCGGCGGCCGCCGCTTGGCTTCGCGTCATGTATTCCTGGGGACGCGTGGAGCGAATGGAGTTGCTTGCGCTGAGATGCTCAGACACGTCTGGCGAAGATTCCACCGAAGGAGATGTGATTACATCATTGTCCGCCATCATAAAAATGTGGAAATCATCTCTAGAACTAGGATTCGCGACGCGACTCGTTTTCAGTCGACTTCAATCGTTTTTCGACGCGAGTTTTTACCCACCAAACAGAATTGACGATGTTGGTTGTCAGCTTCAGGATTCGAATGCGATAGTCGGAGCGGAATATGCAGTCTGTCTAATAGCTTCAGGTAGCTCGTTTTTGTAGATTATGTGTGGGGAGATGGATATAGAAACGAGGTAATACATATTACGAAACATGACCTAGCCGTCTACGACGTCTCCTCGCACAACTCGACAGACGACAAGGAGGACGACGATGATAGAGAACAAGCCGAAAAGCATGACATCTCTTGAAGAGTGTGAGGCAGGATGGAGTAGGAGAGACAGATGTGGGAAGAAAGTTCATTTTGCAGGAGACGCACTGTAGCATGCTCCTAGTTTCCCAAATCCCAAGAACTGAATGATGGCTTCGAGAGGAACTGACGAGAAGAACGACAAGCAGGGCGGGTGTAACAGTGTGGAGTGTTAGGACAAGACCCGAGAAGAACAGATAGATATGGTGGGGGAGGGGAAGTTGAGCAAATAGGCTGCTCGTATCGCGCAAGCGACGGATGGAGGGGATTGCCACGTGTCTCTGATCGCACAAGCGGAGCGCCAGCGCACAAGTGGGCAACCTTAGATTCTGGGGCACGCCCAATTGGAGTGCGTGCGATCTGTTGGCCCGCATTGATTGCTCAGCTTCCACCGAGAACGTCCTTTCGTCATCCAGAAAGCTGCCGACCGAAACGCAAGGGGCGCTCTACTGTAGAAATGTAAATGCTGCATCTGAGAGCTCACACTCAGGGACTGCGGTGTGCAGCAGGGGCCATGCTGCGCTGCAGTGCTCTCGAACGTTTTCCTCATCCAACATCACATGCTTGAAGCATTTCTCTTTGCTCGCCGTGTCGGCCTGAAGGACTCGTGCGCCAAGTCAGCACCTCAGGACATTTTGAAGGTACGTTGGAAGAAAGCACAACTGAGGAAAATAATTTTGTACATTAGATCTGACAGGAAACTGCACTTATTTATGAGCAAAAGCATTGGCTGGAGATTATACAGCACAATCATAAAAAGGGAAGTCATTTGCCAGTAAATGTTCCCGCTTTATAGCATCCCCATGTAATGTACGGTACTAAACGTCACAGGGACCAAATGCACCATAAAACGCCTACATACCCCCACCTGGCTAGATTGTGATGCGAAGACACAATGATAATGGGGAAACATATGCTCTAATGAAAGGAACTAACTGCACTCCCAGATCAAGGTGAATCAAACCCAAAGACACGAAAGACACCTGCGACAAGGAGGCGAACAGGAACATATGGTACATGTACAATTAAAGAGGAACGAACCACAATCGTTTGCACACCGAATGCCATTCCTGATGCACCGGCCGACCCGCACCAAAGGCGGGCCCTGCTCTTAGAGCAAGCAAGTACAGTGGCAGCACACTCACTCACCCGGAGATGAATGCTTGCCATCGTCGTCAGAGGCATACGCCAGCAGAAGGTGCTTGGGGTTCCACTCGACACTGTTCATTGCCGCCCACGATGGGATCTGATGCACCGACCGCCCCGTCTCCACCTCGGCCTGTTGTGACGTGGAGGGGATGGGGACAAAAAGACCGACAGCAGAGCATAGGAAGTGGGGGATGTGAGGGGAAGAGATATGGGCTCTGGGGACTCACCATACTGCGAGGGGAAGAGGTGAGTTGCACGAGGGAAAGGAGAAGGATGACAATACCTTGCGCGGAGATTTGATAGTTTGGGGGACAGGAAAACGGGATGGAAGGAAGTACTGATATGGGACATGCACGGCGTGTTGTGAGTTATGAGTTAATGTACGATGCACGCGCACGTGTGCGCACACGATACAGCAGAGTACACGCATGCTGCACTCCCCACCACACTGCGCGCCTCACATCACTGAAAGACTTACAATGTCAACAAAAAGGTCTTCACTAGCAGACGCGAGATACCGCCCATCGTGGCTGAAGCTGACAGTGCGCACAGGCCACCTGCGGGAGTGCGGAGGAGAGCAGGATTCAGGAGTGGGTGGGGGACGAGGGGAATGGTGGAGAGGGCAGTGGTTGAAGCTCACAGTGCGCAAGGCCACCTGCGGGTAGGGGGGTGTGGGTAAAGGGGTGTGGGTAGGGGTGTGGGTAGGGGGGTGTGGGTAGGGGGGTATGGGTAGGGGGGTGTGGGTAGGGGGGAAGGGGCATGTGGGTGGGGGGGGCGGCGCATGCGGGTGGGGGAGGAGGGAGGAGCATGTGGATGAAGCAGGAAAGGAGGGAAACCGAAAAAGGGGTTGCACAGTAAAGAAAATGACGCGTGGTGACTGGCAGAAGAGACAAATACACGTGCCATGTTAAGGCCACGGGCATGCAGAGATGAATGAGGCATGCAGAGATGAATGAGGCATGCAGAGATGAATGAGGCATGCAGAGATGAATGAGGCATGCAGAGATGAATGAGGCATGCAGAGATGAATGAGGCATGCAGAGATGAATGAGGCATGCAGAGATGAATGAGGCATGCAGAGATGAATGAGGCATGCAGAGATGAATGAGGCATGCAGAGATGAATGAGGCATGCAGAGATGAATGAGGCATGCAGAGATGAATGAGGCATGCAGAGATGAATGAGGCATGCAGAGATGAATGAGGCATGCAGAGATGAATGAGGCATGCATTGAATGAGGCATGCAGAGATGAATGAGGCATGCAGAGATGAATGAGGCATGCAGAGATGAATGAGGCATGCAGAGATGAATGAGGCATGCAGAGATGAATGAGGCATGCAGAGATGAATGAGGCATGCAGAGATGAATGAGGCATGCAGAGATGAATGAGGCATGCAGAGATGAATGAGGCATGCAGAGATGAATGAGGCATGCAGAGATGAATGAGGCATGCAGAGATGAATGAGGCATGCAGAGATGAATGAGGCATGCAGAGATGAATGAGGCATGCAGAGATGAATGAGGCATGCAGAGATGAATGAGGCATGCAGAGATGAATGAGGCATGCAGAGATGAATGAGGCATGCAGAGATGAATGAGGCATGCAGAGATGAATGAGGCATGCAGAGATGAATGAGGCATGCAGAGATGAATGAGGCATGCAGAGATGAATGAGGCATGCAGAGATGAATGAGGCATGCAGAGATGAATGAGGCATGCAGAGATGAATGAGGCATGCAGAGATGAATGAGGCATGCAGAGATGAATGAGGCATGCAGAGATGAATGAGGCATGCAGAGATGAATGAGGCATGCAGAGATGAATGAGGCATGCAGAGATGAATGAGGCATGCAGAGATGAATGAGGCATGCAGAGATGAATGAGGCATGCAGAGATGAATGAGGCATGCAGAGATGAATGAGGCATGCAGAGATGAATGAGGCATGCAGAGATGAATGAGGCATGCAGAGATGAATGAGGCATGCAGAGATGAATGAGGCATGCAGAGATGAATGAGGCATGCAGAGATGAATGAGGCATGCAGAGATGAATGAGGCATGCAGAGATGAATGAGGCATGCAGAGATGAATGAGGCATGCAGAGATGAATGAGGCATGCAGAGATGAATGAGGCATGCAGAGATGAATGAGGCATGCAGAGATGAATGAGGCATGCAGAGATGAATGAGGCATGCAGAGATGAATGAGGCATGCAGAGATGAATGAGGCATGCAGAGATGAATGAGGCATGCAGAGATGAATGAGGCATGCAGAGATGAATGAGGCATGCAGAGATGAATGAGGCATGCAGAGATGAATGAGGCATGCAGAGATGAATGAGGCATGCAGAGATGAATGAGGCATGCAGAGATGAATGAGGCATGCAGAGATGAATGAGGCATGCAGAGATGAATGAGGCATGCAGAGATGAATGAGGCATGCAGAGATGAATGAGGCATGCAGAGATGAATGAGGCATGCAGAGATGAATGAGGCATGCAGAGATGAATGAGGCATGCAGAGATGAATGAGGCATGCAGAGATGAATGAGGCATGCAGAGATGAATGAGGCATGCAGAGATGAATGAGGCATGCAGAGATGAATGAGGCATGCAGAGATGAATGAGGCATGCAGAGATGAATGAGGCATGCAGAGATGAATGAGGCATGCAGAGATGAATGAGGCATGCAGAGATGAATGAGGCATGCAGAGATGAATGAGGCATGCAGAGATGAATGAGGCATGCAGAGATGAATGAGGCATGCAGAGATGAATGAGGCATGCAGAGATGAATGAGGCATGCAGAGATGAATGAGGCATGCAGAGATGAATGAGGCATGCAGAGATGAATGAGGCATGCAGAGATGAATGAGGCATGCAGAGATGAATGAGGCATGCAGAGATGAATGAGGCATGCAGAGATGAATGAGGCATGCAGAGATGAATGAGGCATGCAGAGATGAATGAGGCATGCAGAGATGAATGAGGCATGCAGAGATGAATGAGGCATGCAGAGATGAATGAGGCATGCAGAGATGAATGAGGCATGCAGAGATGAATGAGGCATGCAGAGATGAATGAGGCATGCAGAGATGAATGAGGCATGCAGAGATGAATGAGGCATGCAGAGATGAATGAGGCATGCAGAGATGAATGAGGCATGCAGAGATGAATGAGGCATGCAGAGATGAATGAGGCATGCAGAGATGAATGAGGCATGCAGAGATGAATGAGGCATGCAGAGATGAATGAGGCATGCAGAGATGAATGAGGCATGCAGAGATGAATGAGGCATGCAGAGATGAATGAGGCATGCAGAGATGAATGAGGCATGCAGAGATGAATGAGGCATGCAGAGATGAATGAGGCATGCAGAGATGAATGAGGCATGCAGAGATGAATGAGGCATGCAGAGATGAATGAGGCATGCAGAGATGAATGAGGCATGCAGAGATGAATGAGGCATGCAGAGATGAATGAGGCATGCAGAGATGAATGAGGCATGCAGAGATGAATGAGGCATGCAGAGATGAATGAGGCATGCAGAGATGAATGAGGCATGCAGAGATGAATGAGGCATGCAGAGATGAATGAGGCATGCAGAGATGAATGAGGCATGCAGAGATGAATGAGGCATGCAGAGATGAATGAGGCATGCAGAGATGAATGAGGCATGCAGAGATGAATGAGGCATGCAGAGATGAATGAGGCATGCAGAGATGAATGAGGCATGCAGAGATGAATGAGGCATGCAGAGATGAATGAGGCATGCAGAGATGAATGAGGCATGCAGAGATGAATGAGGCATGCAGAGATGAATGAGGCATGCAGAGATGAATGAGGCATGCAGAGATGAATGAGGCATGCAGAGATGAATGAGGCATGCAGAGATGAATGAGGCATGCAGAGATGAATGAGGCATGCAGAGATGAATGAGGCATGCAGAGATGAATGAGGCATGCAGAGATGAATGAGGCATGCAGAGATGAATGAGGCATGCAGAGATGAATGAGGCATGCAGAGATGAATGAGGCATGCAGAGATGAATGAGGCATGCAGAGATGAATGAGGCATGCAGAGATGAATGAGGCATGCAGAGATGAATGAGGCATGCAGAGATGAATGAGGCATGCAGAGATGAATGAGGCATGCAGAGATGAATGAGGCATGCAGAGATGAATGAGGCATGCAGAGATGAATGAGGCATGCAGAGATGAATGAGGCATGCAGAGATGAATGAGGCATGCAGAGATGAATGAGGCATGCAGAGATGAATGAGGCATGCAGAGATGAATGAGGCATGCAGAGATGAATGAGGCATGCAGAGATGAATGAGGCATGCAGAGATGAATGAGGCATGCAGAGATGAATGAGGCATGCAGAGATGAATGAGGCATGCAGAGATGAATGAGGCATGCAGAGATGAATGAGGCATGCAGAGATGAATGAGGCATGCAGAGATGAATGAGGCATGCAGAGATGAATGAGGCATGCAGAGATGAATGAGGCATGCAGAGATGAATGAGGCATGCAGAGATGAATGAGGCATGCAGAGATGAATGAGGCATGCAGAGATGAATGAGGCATGCAGAGATGAATGAGGCATGCAGAGATGAATGAGGCATGCAGAGATGAATGAGGCATGCAGAGATGAATGAGGCATGCAGAGATGAATGAGGCATGCAGAGATGAATGAGGCATGCAGAGATGAATGAGGCATGCAGAGATGAATGAGGCATGCAGAGATGAATGAGGCATGCAGAGATGAATGAGGCATGCAGAGATGAATGAGGCATGCAGAGATGAATGAGGCATGCAGAGATGAATGAGGCATGCAGAGATGAATGAGGCATGCAGAGATGAATGAGGCATGCAGAGATGAATGAGGCATGCAGAGATGAATGAGGCATGCAGAGATGAATGAGGCATGCAGAGATGAATGAGGCATGCAGAGATGAATGAGGCATGCAGAGATGAATGAGGCATGCAGAGATGAATGAGGCATGCAGAGATGAATGAGGCATGCAGAGATGAATGAGGCATGCAGAGATGAATGAGGCATGCAGAGATGAATGAGGCATGCAGAGATGAATGAGGCATGCAGAGATGAATGAGGCATGCAGAGATGAATGAGGCATGCAGAGATGAATGAGGCATGCAGAGATGAATGAGGCATGCAGAGATGAATGAGGCATGCAGAGATGAATGAGGCATGCAGAGATGAATGAGGCATGCAGAGATGAATGAGGCATGCAGAGATGAATGAGGCATGCAGAGATGAATGAGGCATGCAGAGATGAATGAGGCATGCAGAGATGAATGAGGCATGCAGAGATGAATGAGGCATGCAGAGATGAATGAGGCATGCAGAGATGAATGAGGCATGCAGAGATGAATGAGGCATGCAGAGATGAATGAGGCATGCAGAGATGAATGAGGCATGCAGAGATGAATGAGGCATGCAGAGATGAATGAGGCATGCAGAGATGAATGAGGCATGCAGAGATGAATGAGGCATGCAGAGATGAATGAGGCATGCAGAGATGAATGAGGCATGCAGAGATGAATGAGGCATGCAGAGATGAATGAGGCATGCAGAGATGAATGAGGCATGCAGAGATGAATGAGGCATGCAGAGATGAATGAGGCATGCAGAGATGAATGAGGCATGCAGAGATGAATGAGGCATGCAGAGATGAATGAGGCATGCAGAGATGAATGAGGCATGCAGAGATGAATGAGGCATGCAGAGATGAATGAGGCATGCAGAGATGAATGAGGCATGCAGAGATGAATGAGGCATGCAGAGATGAATGAGGCATGCAGAGATGAATGAGGCATGCAGAGATGAATGAGGCATGCAGAGATGAATGAGGCATGCAGAGATGAATGAGGCATGCAGAGATGAATGAGGCATGCAGAGATGAATGAGGCATGCAGAGATGAATGAGGCATGCAGAGATGAATGAGGCATGCAGAGATGAATGAGGCATGCAGAGATGAATGAGGCATGCAGAGATGAATGAGGCATGCAGAGATGAATGAGGCATGCAGAGATGAATGAGGCATGCAGAGATGAATGAGGCATGCAGAGATGAATGAGGCATGCAGAGATGAATGAGGCATGCAGAGATGAATGAGGCATGCAGAGATGAATGAGGCATGCAGAGATGAATGAGGCATGCAGAGATGAATGAGGCATGCAGAGATGAATGAGGCATGCAGAGATGAATGAGGCATGCAGAGATGAATGAGGCATGCAGAGATGAATGAGGCATGCAGAGATGAATGAGGCATGCAGAGATGAATGAGGCATGCAGAGATGAATGAGGCATGCAGAGATGAATGAGGCATGCAGAGATGAATGAGGCATGCAGAGATGAATGAGGCATGCAGAGATGAATGAGGCATGCAGAGATGAATGAGGCATGCAGAGATGAATGAGGCATGCAGAGATGAATGAGGCATGCAGAGATGAATGAGGCATGCAGAGATGAATGAGGCATGCAGAGATGAATGAGGCATGCAGAGATGAATGAGGCATGCAGAGATGAATGAGGCATGCAGAGATGAATGAGGCATGCAGAGATGAATGAGGCATGCAGAGATGAATGAGGCATGCAGAGATGAATGAGGCATGCAGAGATGAATGAGGCATGCAGAGATGAATGAGGCATGCAGAGATGAATGAGGCATGCAGAGATGAATGAGGCATGCAGAGATGAATGAGGCATGCAGAGATGAATGAGGCATGCAGAGATGAATGAGGCATGCAGAGATGAATGAGGCATGCAGAGATGAATGAGGCATGCAGAGATGAATGAGGCATGCAGAGATGAATGAGGCATGCAGAGATGAATGAGGCATGCAGAGATGAATGAGGCATGCAGAGATGAATGAGGCATGCAGAGATGAATGAGGCATGCAGAGATGAATGAGGCATGCAGAGATGAATGAGGCATGCAGAGATGAATGAGGCATGCAGAGATGAATGAGGCATGCAGAGATGAATGAGGCATGCAGAGATGAATGAGGCATGCAGAGATGAATGAGGCATGCAGAGATGAATGAGGCATGCAGAGATGAATGAGGCATGCAGAGATGAATGAGGCATGCAGAGATGAATGAGGCATGCAGAGATGAATGAGGCATGCAGAGATGAATGAGGCATGCAGAGATGAATGAGGCATGCAGAGATGAATGAGGCATGCAGAGATGAATGAGGCATGCAGAGATGAATGAGGCATGCAGAGATGAATGAGGCATGCAGAGATGAATGAGGCATGCAGAGATGAATGAGGCATGCAGAGATGAATGAGGCATGCAGAGATGAATGAGGCATGCAGAGATGAATGAGGCATGCAGAGATGAATGAGGCATGCAGAGATGAATGAGGCATGCAGAGATGAATGAGGCATGCAGAGATGAATGAGGCATGCAGAGATGAATGAGGCATGCAGAGATGAATGAGGCATGCAGAGATGAATGAGGCATGCAGAGATGAATGAGGCATGCAGAGATGAATGAGGCATGCAGAGATGAATGAGGCATGCAGAGATGAATGAGGCATGCAGAGATGAATGAGGCATGCAGAGATGAATGAGGCATGCAGAGATGAATGAGGCATGCAGAGATGAATGAGGCATGCAGAGATGAATGAGGCATGCAGAGATGAATGAGGCATGCAGAGATGAATGAGGCATGCAGAGATGAATGAGGCATGCAGAGATGAATGAGGCATGCAGAGATGAATGAGGCATGCAGAGATGAATGAGGCATGCAGAGATGAATGAGGCATGCAGAGATGAATGAGGCATGCAGAGATGAATGAGGCATGCAGAGATGAATGAGGCATGCAGAGATGAATGAGGCATGCAGAGATGAATGAGGCATGCAGCGATATGTGAATGAGGCATGCAGAGATGAATGAGGCATGCAGAGATGAATGAGGCATGCAGAGATGAATGAGGCATGCAGAGATGAATGAGGCATGCAGAGATGAATGAGGCATGCAGAGATGAATGAGGCATGCAGAGATGAATGAGGCATGCAGAGATGAATGAGGCATGCAGAGATGAATGAGGCATGCAGAGATGAATGAGGCATGCAGAGATGAATGAGGCATGCAGAGATGAATGAGGCATGCAGAGATGAATGAGGCATGCAGAGATGAATGAGGCATGCAGAGATGAATGAGGCATGCAGAGATGAATGAGGCATGCAGAGATGAATGAGGCATGCAGAGATGAATGAGGCATGCAGCGATAAATGAGGCATGCAGCGATATGTGAATGAGGCATGCAGAGATGAATGAGGCATGCAGAGATGAATGAGGCATGCAGAGATGAATGAGGCATGCAGAGATGAATGAGGCATGCAGAGATGAATGAGGCATGCAGAGATGAATGAGGCATGCAGAGATAAATGAGGCATGCAGTTTGCCAAGTGCTACTCACTCGAGGCGTGTGAAGGTGCTGAAAGTAGCTTTTTTGAGACTTTTCAAGACATTATGTGCTACTCACTCGAGGCGAGTGAAGGTGCGCACACACAGCATGTGCTGCATGTCCCACAGGCTCACCAGCGCATCGGCACTACCGGCTGCAAAGTACCTGTGATGGTGGTGGTGGTGGTGATGGTGGTGGTGGTGGTGGTGGTGTGGTGGTGGTGGTGGTGGTGGTGGTGGTGGTGGCGGTGGCGGTGGCGGTGGCGGTGGCGGTGGCGGTGGCGGTGGCGGTGGCGGTGGCGGTGGCGGTGGCGGTGGCGGTGGCGGTGGCGGTGGCGGTGGCGGTGGCGGTGGCGGTGGCGGTGGCGGTGGCGGTGGCGGTGGTGATGATGATGATGGTGATGGAAAATAAAGGAGGGGGGCAAAAGGGTAAAAAAGGGATGAAAAAGGGGAAGCACATGGAGAAGGGAGGTGAAGACAGGAAAGCGGATGGGATCAAGAAGAAAGTCAATCTTGGAACAAGTCGAGATTGACTCATATTCCAACAAGTCGAGTCGTAAGGCCTCAAATGCACGCACCTGCCAAGGGGGTCTATGGCCAAGGAATACACTCCTGCTGTGTGCGCGTGCAGGGTGTCTAGTGTCTGCAGGGAGGGATAACCCAAAACTTCCACTGCGCCTGCAATTTGAGGTGTGGTGGAGAGTTCGGGTGTGGTGGGGAGTTGAGGTGCGGTGGAGAGTTGAGAAGTGGAGCAGAATTGAGGCATGGAGGGAAGTGGAGGTGAAACAGGGAGTTGAGGGCATTGAGTCAACATCAGGGGCCGCAGCAGGTGATGCCAACAAACAGGTGCCAAGTCCCGCGGCTGACCAGTGCACCACACCACAGCTCCACCGTTTTGCACCACATTGCCCATCTGTGTGCCAGAGCTCACCTGTGCCAGTTGTGACAAGGAAGATGGACCCTGTTCGATCCCATGCAAACTCGTTCAGCTGTAGGCAAATCGTGGTTGCCAGGGAGGGAGGGAGGCAGTGAGTGGTGGCAGGGAAACAGCTTGCAAACAGGTGAGAAGCGAAGATGAAAGGTAGGTAGAAGCTGAGAGGCGAGAAGAAGATGCAAAGAGAGGGGAAATAGACGGAGGTGTCTGTGTGAATGTGAGAACCAAGGACGGAAACACAACCACACCAAGCAGGGCTCAGGCAGATGAATTTTCAAAGGCCGCAAAGTGACAGCGGCTGACAGCAACTGACAGCGCATGACAGTGAGTGACTGTGACTGACTGTGACTGACTGTGACTGACTGTGACTGACTGTGACTGACTGTGACTGACTGTGACTGACTGTGACTGACTCTGGCTGACTCTGACTCACAGTGACTGACAGTGACTGACCTCGTAGGTGAACTTGCGCTAGTGGATGGGCTTGAGCTTCCTCACATCACATCCAGAATGCACGTGGCTTGAGGCTTGGCAAGTTCACATAGACACTGACCATGCTGTGATGCTGCATGCTGCATGGTGCATGGTGCATGGTGCATGGTGCGTGGTGCGTGGTGCATGGTGCATGGTGCATGGTGCATGGTGCATGGTGCATGGTGCATGGTGCATGGTGCATGGTGCATGGTGCATGGTGCATGGTGCATGGTGCATGGTGCGTGGTGCGTGGTGCATGGTGCATGGTGCATGGTGCATGGTGCATGGTGCATGGTGCGTGGTGCATGGTGCATGGTGCATGGTGCATGGTGCATGGTGCATGGTGCGTGGTGCATGGTGCATGGTGCATGGTGCGTGGTGCGTGGTGCGTGGTGCATGGTGCATGGTGCATGGTGCATGGTGCATGGTGCATGGTGCATGGTGCATGGTGCGTGGTGCATGGTGCATGGTGCATGGTGCGTGCTGCATGGTGCATGCCACACCACTGACTGACCTCGTAGGTGAACTTGCGCTTGTGGATTGGCTTCAGCTTCCTCACATCCAAAATGGTCAACTCGTCCGCCTGCATCCATCCATGCATGCAACACCAGGCACCATGCATGCACGGTCACCGCCATGCCGCATGCAGCATGTGCATGGATCATGAATCACCCAGCATGCATCAGAAAAGGCAATCAGTGAAAGAGGTGAGAGATCCATGTATGAATTGTCGGCTCATGACACTACAGACATGAACGATTGTGGAATAAAAAGCTTACTCACAGCGCAGAACATTCAAGTTAGAATAGCCCAACGTTGCATTACAACATTCACGCACGCTATAACACAGCCCATTGACATTACAATACACGGTGCAGCCCACTCACGCTGTTGCCCACGGCAATGTGAGTGCCATCGGGCTTGTACGTGACGTTGAAATTCTCCCCCTTTAGAGTCACACTCTGCTGACACCTGGCAGCTGACGTGGCAACGGGTGGGACACACAACACAAGACAAGACACCAGCACAAGACGTTCAAATTAACAAGAATCTGCATCAAGTGTGTCCGGGCGTGTATGCGCAGTGCATGAACGTGCAAAAATCAGCACAACTGAAGATTCACAAAACATCTGAACATGTTTAGAAGTTAACGTTGAAAAGCACTAAAAACAAAAATTCCCATGCCAACTTCTCTCCCGTCCCATACCATGCATCCTTAACTCACATCCAACCCTATGGACTCACATCAACCCTATGGACTCACATCTCGTGTCCCAAATACGAACGGACTTGTCTTGAGACGCGGATGCAAGGAGGTCAGGATGGAGAGGGTCCCAGCACAGGTTGTCCACGCTCTCGCTGTGGCCCCTCAACTCCACCTCCCGATGCTTGCTCTGCAGCACGGCACATGGCATCAAATGGCATGACATGGCATGATATGGAATGACACGGAATGACACGGCATCACATGGCATCACATGGCATCACATGGCATCACATGGCATCACATGGCATCACATGGCATCACATGATATGTCAGAGTGGTGAAAGGGGCCTCTTTTCCAACACAGGTTGTCCACACCACACTTTCGCTGTGGTCCGTCAGCTCCACCTCACGCTGCTTGCTCTGCAGCACAGAAACAAAAGAAAACCGTCAGGGTGGTGAAAGGGTTCCCATTCCTAGCACACATCACCCACGCTCTAGTTTTGAGGCGCCTCAAATCAGGGTGGTGAAAGGGTGCCCATTCCTAGCACACGTCACCCACGCTCTCCCTGGTGGCCCCTCCACTCCACCTCACGCTGCTTGCTCTGCAGCACCACGAGGCATCACACAAACGAACGGCATGCCACGGCGAGGATGGGAGGAATGAGGTGGATTGATGGAGGCCCAAAGTTGGTCTGATCAGTGTAAAGTGACCGTTGCACTGGGATGGAGTGTTGCACTGGGATGGAGTGTTACACTGGGATGAAACGTTACAAATGGAATGGGCGTTGGGATGACTCACGGAGTTTGACTGGCCGCTGGGATCCACTTGCCACACGCGAATGGTTTGGTCCACCGAGCCTGACCCGAGCTTCTCGCCGAGGCAGTTCCACACCACCGAATGCACCTGGTTCGTAAAATGAGAAAAGCACAATAAAAAAAAAAAAACAAAAAAGAAATTAATTCCTTTCTTTGGAACGGAATTATTCTCAGTTTGACCTAGAATCCCTCGCCATTTCGGCCTCTCTACCTACTGTTCGGCGTAACGTCATCTGTCATCTGTCATCTCCGTATTTCCACAAGGCCCATGCTCCCAGCACACTCCTACCCCCTCAACCCCCCACGTGCCCACCACGCGCCTCCTACTTGCCTCTTACTTGCCTCCTACTCACTCATTGGTCCACGTGTCTCATACCTTCTTCTTGTGGCCAACGAACTCTCGGCTGTACAGGTTCCTAAAAGGGTCCTTTCCCGCTCTTAGTTGTGATGGAAGCGGCGCGGGAGCCGGCGGCTGCTGCGGCTGCCCTTGCGCCTGGCCCTGCGACTGGTTCTGGTTCTGCGACTGCTGTTGCTGCTGCTGTTGCTGCTGCTGCTGCTGCAGCTGCGCTTGCGCCTGCTGCTGCTGCGCCTGCTGCGGCGGGTGCGGAAGCGGCGGCTGCGCGGGGGGTCCGCCAGGGTATTGCGCGAATCCGGTTGCGCCGGGGTGCGGGGGAGTGGGGTAGCGGTGGGGGATGTGGCCGTGTGTGAAGGGTGAGGGGTGGTGCTGCTGATAGTGCATCGGCCCTCCCATTCCGTACATCGCAGCGCGCTGAGTAGTAACCGCGGAGCTCTCAAGGCGTCTAAGAAGCAGCTAACTGACAAAGTAAAAGCGGGCAGCTACGATCGTCAAACGCACAGACGAATGAGCAGCAGCAGCTGCTGCGGGAGTTGATTAGTGCGCGAGACAGAGCAGAGCGATTGCGTAGTTGTGAAGCGACTCGAGAATTAACTACGTGAACGCGAGCCGCGGTTGTTCTGTTGTCAGAAGAAACTGGAGGCAGCAAGGACAGGTACGGCGCCTTCAACTTCCTGAAACATAAGTCATCGTCATTTATGGAATATGAATACACGTTATGAGACACAAACATTCGACGCGGACTCTACATTGAATTACGTTAACGACCTTACATTGCATGGAACATTTCCAGAGTGTACATATTCCTGGATGACCTCTTCCGGGTTAATTTGCAGCGGAATACAATTCTACAACTGTTTAAGCGGCGGCCTCTTGTGCTGCGCGCGCTGCCTTGCCAGCGGCAGCTTGCACGCTGGTGATGGCGATGGTGTTGACGATGTCCTTTGTGGTGCACCCCCGGCTCAAATCATTCACCGGCCGACTCAACCCCTGCAGCACCGGTCCCATGGCAATGGCTCCTGTGGCCTGTGCGGGGAATAGAGAGGGCGAATGGTATAGAACTCATCAAATGGGATTTGAGACAGTGCAAGCCAGAGCATACAGCAGATGGTTTGAACCGTATCTTATTGGAAAGTAAGGAATGAGAGTGCCAGGAGGAGAAAAAGAAGTTGCAAGTGGGTTGTCGAGGGAGAGGGGGGGAGGTGGGGGGAGGAGGGGGTGAGAAGGAAAGTGAGAATTACCTGCTGCACAGCCTTGTATGTGTTGTTGCCTGTGTTGAGGTCTGGGAAAATGAGGACCGAGGCCTGCACAGGGAGCAGGGAGGGACTCAACGAAGTTTATAAGGGTGAACCTTGAAACGGCCATCACGGCAGTGAAAGGGTGAACCGTGAAACATGCCGTGTCATCACAGCATATGATGCGGGATGTCGATAATTTAAAAGATTTGTCTTACAACGTGCAGGAAACAAACGGCAAATTGAACATAGTCCACCAACACAGCGATCGGTCAACAGGACAAACCTTGCCAGCCACGTCGGACTCTCTGCCGTCCATCTTGTTGTGGGCAGCCATGGGGTTGACAGCAGCGTCGTACTGCAGTGGTCCCTCCACCAGCAGGTCTGGCCGCTGCTGCTTCACCAGCTGTGTTGCCTGCACCACTTTCTGCACTATTGTGTCTGCATGGGGGGAGAGGGGGGGGAAAGAGTCAATGGGGGGTGAGAGACAGGTGGAACTTCAACACTCCATCCACCAGCAGGCCTAGTCGCTGCTGTCTAGCTGAGTTACCTTCACTGGATTCCATCCCATCCCATCCTTCGTGTCTGCATAGGGGGAGGAAGGGAGAGGGAGAAGGGAAGCAGCAAGAAGGCGTCACTAATACCCCCTTCCTTTCCACCCTCACTTCCTTTTCACTCACCTTCCATCCCATCCCAACCTTCGTGCGCTTGTCCAGAGTGGTGTGCGACAGCATCGCAACATGCGGCTCCACGCCAAAGGCTGGTTCTCGCATCCATTTGGCAACACCCATAATCACTTTCTTTCATCCTCACCTCCCTTTCATCCTCACCTCCCTTTCATCCTCACCTCCCTTTCATCCTCACCTCCCTTTCATCCTCACCTCCCTTTCATCCTCACCTCCCTTTCATCCTCACCTCCCTTTCATCCTCACCTCCCTTTCATCCTCACCTCCCTTTCCTTCTCACCTTCCTTTCGTTCGTCCAGGGTGGAGTAAGACAGCATGGCAACACGCGGTTCCACGCCAAAGGCCGCAGCGGTGTCAGCTGACGAGATGGCGATCATCGCGAGCTCCTCAGCCGTTGGATTGGAGTTGATGGCGCAATCGCCGTAGATGTACACGTGGTCGGGCAGGCACATGAAGAACACACTGGAGATGATCTCGGTGTTGGGCAGTTTCTGAACAAAGGAGGAGAAGGGAGGGCATGAGGAGAGGGAAGAGGATAGGCGCCTGTTGTGTTGGTGGTGTACTGTGCATGTGCTATGAGCCAACACCACCTGATTTGCTAGGAGGCATGTGCTACGATTTTTTAGTCAACTCAAAGCAGCTGATTGCTGACATCATCTTCACAGGGATCATGAACGCAGCCTTGCATTTGCACTCCACAATAAGCCTACGCCACCTGAATATGCAGTAAACGTGATGCAGCACTCACGGGGATCATCTGAAGAGCCGGGCGGATGGTGGCAATGGTGGTGTGCACAGCGCCTGACACCATGCCATCCACATCGCCTGCTGCCACCATGGCCGTGCCCAGGTAGTTGGGGTCCGTTATCATGTGCTCGTGCGCCTCTGCTAGGGTCACTCCCTGCAGATAGGGCGAATAGGAAGTGCGAATGGAAGGGAAGGGAAAAAAATGGAAGGGAGGCGAAGGGAAGGGTGGTGAGAAAGGGTTGTTGCTGGGGCCGGTGATCATGTGCTCCTGCGCCTCCGTTAGAGTTACTCCCTGGGGACGAACAAGGAGAAGGGGAGTGGGGTGGATATAAGTGCGTGGTCATGTGCTGACACCATGCCATCCACATCGCCTGCTGTCACCATGGCTGTTCCCAGGTAGTTGGGGTCTGTGATCATGTGCTCGTGCGCCCCCATTAGAGTCACGCCCTGGAGGTAGGATGAGAGAAGGAAGGGATTTGATGGGCAGCAGAGAGGAGAAGGAAGGGGAAGGGTGGTAGTTGGGGTCTGTAATCATGTGCTCGTGCGCCTCCATTAGGGTCACTCCCTGGCGACGGGCTAGGAGAAGGGGAGTGGGGTGGATATAAGTGCGTGGTCATGTGCTGACACCATGCCATCCACATTGCCTGCTGCCACCATGGCCGTTCCCAGACAGTAAGGGTTCGTTATCATGTGCTCGTGGACTTCCATTTGAGTCACGCCCTGCAGGGGGGAGCGGAAGGAAAGAGAAGTGAAGAGGGATGGTAGTTTAAGTCGGTGATCATGTGCTTGTGCGTCTCCATCAGGGTCACGCCTGCAGGTAGGTAGGGTGCACCGAAGGGAAGAGAAAGACTTTTGAGTCGACTCAAAAGTCACCTCGGTAGGGTTGACAGAAGGGAAGAGAAAGACTTTTGAGTCGACTCAAAAGTCACCTCGGTAGGGTTGACAGAAGGGAAGAGAAAGACTTTTGAGTCGACTCAAAAGTCACCTCGGTAGGGTGCACAGAAGGGAAGAGAAAGGAAGAAAAATCAAGACAGGCAAAGGCTAGAGAGGTGAGAAGGCGTGGTAGTTGGTGTCAGGGAGTGGTCAAGGCAAAGGCCCTTATCAGGGAGGTTTGCGCCCTGTAGAAAGCCAGGGAGAGGTGGAGTAGGTTCCTTCCGTACGATACGGGCGCCATGCAGCATCAGCCTAGCCTACCACAATGGTGTTTCCTTTCCAGCATCAAGACCCACCTTGTCCTTGCGGGCTTGATACAGAAGCTCAGCATAGTGGTCCAGGTTGGGGGCGGAGGACGGGTAGACAATGAATCGAAGCACATCTACACACCCCAGAAGTACTCTCACCCCAGCCTCTCCCAGGCAGGCAGGCTCATGACCCACCTTGTCCTTGCGGGCTTGATACAGCAGCTCAGCATAGTGGTCCAGGTTGGGGGCGGAGGGCGGGTACACAATGAATCGAAGCACATCTACACACCCCAGAAGTACTCTCACCGTACCACCAGCCTCTCCCAGGCAGGCAGGCTCATGACCCACCTTGTCCTTGCGGGCTTGATACAGAAGCTCAGCATAGTGGTCCAGGTTGGGGGCGGATGGCGGGTACACAATGTCAGCGCCGGACACACCCCAGTCTCCTCACTGTAAAACAGGCCTTTTCCAAGCAGGCAGGATCTCATGATCTCATCACCCACCTTGTCTTTGCGGGCTTGATACAGAAGCTCAGCATAGTGGTCCAGGTTGGGGGCGGATGGCGGGTACACAATGTCAGTGCCTGACACGTCCACGCGCAGCTGCTTCGCCGCTGTGATGATCGCACCCACCTAAAAAGCAGCACCCATCCACCCAGCCCACAGACCCACCTTGTCCTTGCGGGCTTGATACAGAAGCTCAGCGTAGTGGTCGAGGTTGGGGGCGGCGGGCGGGTACACAATGTCAGCGCCTGACACGTCCACGCGCAGCTGTTTGGCTGCCGTGATGATCTCATCTGGGTGGCCTATCAGCGTCACCCGGCATAACGACCGCCGCAGCACCTCCCCTGCTGCCTGTATCGTCCGCGGTTCTGCTCCCTGGGGGTTTTGTAAGTAGGAAAAGAGATACAGGGCAGTTGAGTATGGCTTAAGATGAGAAGGGGGGAGGAAGGAGGAAGATGGTCGAGAAAGGACTTGTCAAAGATGGTGTGCTTGGGGTTCATGCAGAGGGGTTTTCAAAGGTGCAGTCCGGTGCAGTGCTGTGCAGTGCGGTGCGGTGAGGGCGGAAAGACGGGTTACCTCTGGCACAGGCGGTGTGCTGGAAGAGCTTGGGGTTCACGCAGAGAGGTTTCCAGAAGTGCAATGCGGTGAAGTGGGATTGGAGAGACAAGCGTAGCGTACCTCTGGCAGCACGATGTGGGACTGGGCTTCTCGGGACTTGTCAAAGATGGTGTACTGGAAGAGCTTGGGGTTCATGCGGAGGGGTTTCAAGCGGTGCAGTGTGGTGCGGGCGGCAGTAGCAGCCTTACCTCTGGCAGCACGATGTGGGATTCTGCTTCTCGGGACTTGTCAAAGATGGTGTGCTGGAAGAGCTTGGGGTTCATGCGGAGGGGTTTCAAGCGGTGCAGTGTGGTGCGGGCGGCAGTAGCAGCCTTACCTCTGGCAGCACGATGTGGGACTGTGCTTCTCGGGACTTGTCAAAGATGGTGTACTGGAAGAGCTTGGGGTTCATGCATAGGGGTTTCAAGCGGTGCAGTGTGGTGCGGGCGGCAGTAGCAGCCTTACCTCTGGCAGCACGATGTGGGATTCTGCTTCTCGGGACTTGTCAAAGATGGTGTGCTGGAAGAGCTTGGGGTTCATGCGGAGGGGTTTCAAGCGGTGCAGTGTGGTGCGGGCGGCAGTAGCAGCCTTACCTCTGGCAGCACGATGTGGGACTGTGCTTCTCGGGACTTGTCAAAGATGGTGTGCTGGAAGAGCTTGGGATTCATGCGTAGGGGTTTCAAGCGGTGCAGTGTGGTGCGGGCGGCAGTAGCAGCCTTACCTCTGGCAGCACGATGTGGGACTGTGCTTCTCGGGACTTGTCAAAGATGGTGTACTGGAAGAGCTTGGGGTTCATGCATAGGGGTTTCAAGCGGTGCAGTGTGGTGCGGGCGGCAGTAGCAGCCTTACCTCTGGCAGCACGATGTGGGACTGTGCTTCTCGGGACTTGTCAAAGATGGTGTGCTGGAAGAGCTTGGGATTCATGCGTAGGGGTTTCAAGCGGTGCAGTGTGGTGCGGGCGGCAGTAGCAGCCTTACCTCTGGCAGCACGATGTGGGACTGTGCTTCTCGGGACTTGTCAAAGATGGTGTGCTGGAAGAGCTTGGGGTTCATGCGGAGGGGGCGCTCCTTGAATAGCACCTGGTGCAGCATGCGCATGTCCACGTTCTCATGGAATATGACCTGCAGGGAGGGAGGGAGAGGAAAGAGGGGAGAGGAGGGGAAAAAAGGAAAAGAGGAAAAGAGGCTCCTTAAAGGGCACCTGGTGCAGCATGCACATGTCCACATTCTCATGGAATATGACCTTCGGGGAGGGAGGGAGATAGGGCGTGTGGGGAAGGGGGTCCTGGAGACAATGCCTGCGCCACAGGCAGCATGTCCCCTGCGAGACAAGGCCTTGTGCAAGGCTATATTTAGCCCGTACACTGCACAGCTCATGAACCCTGGCGATCCATGCATCCTCCTGGCAGCACATCCTTGCCCATGCACCCTGGCAGCACATCCTTGCCCATGCACCCTGGCAGCACATCCTTGCCCATGCACCCTGGCAGCACATCCTTGCCCATGCACCCTGGCAGCACATCCTTGCCCATGCACCCTGGCAGCACATCCTTGCCCATGCACCCTGGCAGCACATCCTTGCCCATGCACCCTGGCAGCACATCCTTGCCCATGCACCCTGGCAGCACATCCTTGCCCATGCACCCTGGCAGCACATCCTTGCCCATGCACCCTGGCAGCAGCACAGGCCAGTCTGCCCCGCGAACGCACCTCGGCGCGCTCGATCTTGCGGTGGGACGTGGCGTGCAGCTCGGGTTGGGCGTTGGTGAGGGCAATGCACGTGTCGTGTGTGGCCTTGGGGGACAGCAACACCGGGAGGGAAACTCTCGTGGGCCGGCTCTGAAAAGTCAACAGGAGAGGGGAAGAATGGGTGGGAGTGGTGGGTGGGCATTGGTGAGGGCGATGCACATGGCGTGTGGCCTTGGGGGGGGACAGCAGCACCGGGAGGGATACCCGCGTAGGCCAACTCCGGCAAGAACAGGGGGAGAGTGGTCGGTGGGAGTGGTGGTGGGTGGGATTGGTGGGAACGGAGGTTGAGTGTGGTGGGGTGGGACTGGCAGAGGGACGGAGGGATATCAAGAGGTCATGTATCTTGATATCCCTCCGTCTCTCTGGAGAGAAACAGGCAAAAATCTCTCTGCTCACTCCCTTTTCCCTGCCTATGACTTCTCTAATCCCTCCCTGCTCCCTCCCTGCTCCCTCCCTGCTCCCTCCCTACTCCCCTCCTCATCCCTTCTCTTGTTTCCCAGCATGCGTACCCGAATGAGCATGTCGACTTCGAGGGGAGGAGGTGAGCCGCCAGTTAGTACCATAGCTGCCACCTGAGAGACATGCGTAGGGTGGTGGGATGGTAGGATGGTGGGATGGCAGGATGGTGGGATGGTGAGACGGTGAGATGGTGGGATGGCAAGATGGTGGGATGGAGGTGGAGAGGGGGGTGTGACGGGAGGAGGTGCACACACGCATGTAATGAGCAGTGCAAGCACCAACAAGCAGCATGACGAGAGCAGTGTTATAATTGCCATCAGGAGCCCACAGAGGCATGCACACAACACCCTCACGTGCACTGCACTGCTGCCTGTCTACTTGCACACACCCTACCCACCTTACATAGGAGAGACGGTCTGCCAGATGCAGTGTGCGCACTCATTGCTGCCTACCTACCCCTCTCCCACATGCTCTGCTGCCCCATCTACCCGCCCAAGCCCCGCCTGCCTTGCTGAACACACACCTGGGTGCTGAGGTGCGTCTCATGCAGGTCGATCATCCCCAGCAGAATATCCGGACGACTGGCGTGTGCAACAACTAGCACGCCCTTGCCCGGGTCGTCAGACGGTGGGATGTAGGAGAGCAGGTCCGCCAGGTGCAGAGTGGCCACGAGCGTGCGTGTGACCTCCGTGGTCATGTTGTTGCTGTGAGGCACGTCGCCGTACAGCACATGTGCGTTCAGCACCCTCGCAACGTCCTCCACCTGCAGGCGAGGTGTGGCAGGGGGACAGGGAGGAGGAGAGCAGGGGAGGGGAAGGCAGGTAGGAGGGTGGCCTTGGTGGTCATGTTGTTGCTGTGAGGCACGTCGCCGTACAGCACATGTGCGTTCAGCACCCTCGCCACGTCCTCCACCTGCAGGCGAGGTGTGGGAGGGGGACAGGGAGGAGGAGAGCAGGGGAGGGGAAGGCAGGTAGGAGGGTGGCCTCGGTGGTCATGTTGTTGCTGTGCGCCACGTCGCCGTACAGCACATGTGCGTTCAGCACCCTCGCAACGTCCTCCACCTGCGATGAAGGTGGGGGGGAAGGGGGAGGAGAGGGAGGGGGGAGGGTGACCTCAGTGGTCATGATTTTGCTGTGCGGCACGTCGCCATACAGCACATGCGAGTTTAACACTCTCGCCACATACTCCACCTGCGGGAGAAAGGGGGTCAGGCGTGTGTGGGGCAGGGGTAGGAAGGAAGGAAGGGGTGGAGGTGGACGAGGGGAAAGAAGTCACTGTACAGCTCATGCGTGTTCAGCATGCCAGCAGCATCCTGCATCCGAAATGGGAAGGGCGAGGTGTGTGTGGGGGAGGGGCAGGGGTGGGTGGGTGGGTGGTCACCCCCCATACAACGATTTCCTTTCCCACCTATCCATCCTCCCCCTCCATCGCCTCCCTCCCACCCACTTCCCCTCCATCACCTCCCTCCTTTCACCTTCTACTCTCTTTCCCATCTCCCTAACTGGAACGACTCGAGCGAGACGTCCTCGGGAATGGCCCCCACGAAGGGGATGTGAGCGCGGGTGATGTACTCCCTCAGCCGTGCTGCCCCGCGGGACGTCTTGGGCATGCATGCGGTAGATGAGTGCACCCGCCACATCCACATCTCACTTGCTGCAACCCCCATATCAGCATTTTCCCATGCCACGTTCAGCCCTACCGCCCTTCCCTCACAAGCGCACCTGGAAGGACTCAAGTGAGACGTCCTCGGGAATGGCCCCCACGAAGGGGATGTGAGCGCGGGTGATGTACTCCCTCAGCCGTGCTGCCCCGCGGGACGTCTTGGGCATGCATGCGGTAGATGAGTGCACCCGCCACATCCACATCTCACTTGCTGCAACCCCCATATCAGCATTTTCCCATGCCACGTTCAGCCCTACCGCCCTTCCCTCACAAGCGCACCTGGAAGGACTCAAGTGAGACGTCCTCGGGGATGGCCCCCACGAAGGGGATGTGAGCGCGGGTGATGTACTCCCTCAGGCGCGCCGCGCCTCTTGACGTCTTGGGCATGCGGTAGATGAGCGCGCCCGCCACGTCGACACGCGACTGCCTCATGATGCGCGCATGGTCCAAGATGCACCCTGCTGCCTCCTTCTCCCAGTCCCAGTCCTCAAACACCCCGCCTGACTGCACGGGGGCACAGGGAGACATACAGGGGAAGAGTGGAAATGAGGCAATGGCGCAAAACAAGCATTGGGGGGAGGTGTATTCTAAGAACCCAAATGCTTCTCCCAGTTCCAGTCCAGTCCTCAGCCTGACAGAACAAGGGAGAGACGAAGGAAGGGCAGAAGTGCGCAGTTGACTTATGAATCGACTAAGAGTGAAACATGCCCTTTGACCGCACAGGGACACACAGGAGGCATGGAAGAGACGTGCCTTGGTGTGCTTGGGGTGGAATTGCGAGGCGGCATGGCCGTCAGAGAGCAGCAGGGCAGAGGCAATGAGGCCGTAGAGGGGCGACGTGTTGGTGCCGTCTCGCATGTATGGACAGGGCGGCCAGGGGAAAATTGCCACACAGCATGTGCGTACCTCGGAGTGCTTGGGGTGGAACTGCGAGGCAGCACGACCATCGGAGACCAGCAGGGCAGGGGCTTCACGGGCAGAGGCAATGAGGCCGTTGAGGGGCGACGTGTTGGTGACGTCTCGCATGTATGGACAGGGCGGCCAGGGGAAAATTGCCACACAGCATGTGCGTACCTCGGAGTGCTTGGGGTGGAACTGCGAGGCAGCACGACCATCGGAGACCAGCAGGGCAGGGGCTTCAAGGGCAGAGGCAATGAGGCCGTTGAGGGGCGACGTGTTGGTGACGTCTCGCATGTATGGACAGGGCGGCCAGGGGAAAATTGCCACACAGCATGTGCGTACCTCGGAGTGCTTGGGGTGGAACTGCGAGGCAGCACGACCATCAGAGACCAGCAGGGCAGGGGCTTCAAGGGCGGAGGCAATGAGGCCGTTGAGGGGCGACGTGTTGGTGCCGTCGCGCATGGACGTGCCCTCTATCACCACAAAGTCATGGTGCCGCTTGCACCGCTCATATGCTGGTGGTTGAGGGAGGGGGGGGGAGGGGGGGGGGGTGGAGTGAATCAGTTGATGTAACTGTGGGGGAAGGCTGGGGGTGCAGGGATGATGAGAATCAAGAAAGAACATGCGAACTAGTAACGAGCCGATGAATGTAGTATGAAGGGCATGGGGAGAAGAGGATTTGTGGACGGGCATGCAGTACAAGTGACGGGAAAATGAGACAGCCAGGTCTACAGAGAAAATAACGGAGGCAGCAATTACTGGTCTTCAGGAATTTACGCCTTTAGGATGACTTGATTGGGTTTTTCACCTGATATGATGGTTTCAAGGAGTTCGTCCGTCTTCTCGGACGTCAGCAGCGCGTATGCCTGATCCTGGGTGAGCCCGAACATGTCCTCCTGTGGCGTGCGCATGCGAAACGCCTCGTGGAACAGCTCCGCGCGGTTACCACCGTGCGAAGTTTGGTCGATTGGGCGAAAGTAACCCACGCCTGGCCGCAGAACCTGGGGGGATCGGGTCGGAAGGTTCCAGGCCGCCCAGTTATCATACAGAAAGACCGTGGTTACTTCCGTCCATGCGTACTTCGATTCGACCACGTTTGGTTCACGCCAACGATGCTTCAAATCATGGTAGTTCATTCAAAACATGGTACCTTCACTTCATGGAAACTTGGTTGGGAACATGGCTTTCGCTTACCTGCAGCGCGTGAATGAGTCCGATGCTGAGAGCGGCGGAGTTAAGAGGAGCACCCACGCTGCAGACAAGGAGACGGAGCGGCGGGAAGGGGGGTGCGAAGAATGACAAAGACGCATTCGCATTCCGGAGCGTGACGCAATCACAATGCCCGTCAACAGTGCCCTGTGAGGCGAGACTTCACAAAACAATACCTGACGGATATGCATGTGCGCTTACGACTCCAGTGTGCTACTAGGTGACGCTAGCAGTAACTGACGGTGCTCAAAAGAGACGGAATTGACGACTCTTAGATTCTACTTTTCTTAAAAAAAAAGGAGGTCGTTCGAACGTACTCGGCATGGTGGAGATAAATAGAGCCTTCGAATTGGTGCGGTTTCTTGGAGTGCGACGCACCCACATTGCCAGGCGCGCTGTTTCTGCTCGAACCACTGATCGATCGACTCTGCTGGTCCGACGAACCTGCTACCTTCGCTCCGTCACCCGTTCTCTCTCCTCTACCCACTCCGCTCGCGAAACCGCTCAAGCCTCGCGTTTGAGCAGCAGAAACGATCCGAGGACCTGCGTTAATTCCGTTAAGGGATCGGTGCAAACCCTGTGTTTCCGACAACCCGACCGACGGGACGGTTTCAGGAAACACCTGCGCTTGCGATTGGTAATTCCGGCAGAGATCGCTCCATCGACCTCGGGCAGTGTTCCCTGACGAGGAATTAAAGCTGCGGCTTGAGTGACCGTGGGCTTGGCCGCTACGCGCTCTGCTAGCCTGCTGCAGCACCCGCTTCCCTAACAATCTGAGCATGGCTGCTGCGACTGCGATGTGTCTCTGTAACAACAGAGTCTGTTGCGTTACAGTACGCTAGCAATGCGCGAAAGTTCGAAGGCCAAGAGTTTACGATCAAGGACAGGCCAAGGCGATGGACGCCAAGGTTACTCGGGAGTCTCTGTCAGAGTCAGAGAACGGGACAGGGCAGCAAGAGCAACCCTTGGGAGTAGCAACTGCTAGCTTCGGAGTGGAGTATATTGATGGGACAATGGAGTCCAATCCAGGTTCATGGACAACCATCTCAAGTAGAGCGCTAAAAGTTCGCAAAAGCATGCCCGTTGGTTGCTGCCCCTGTGTTCCCTAGAACCTGTCGGAGGAGGTTTCTAAAAGTCCTTGAATCGTTTCAAGCAGCTCGGATGTTCATCTTTGTGAGCTGCAGAAGGTGTAGGATCATTGATTGCATAAACTGAACTTCGAATACATTTACGATTGGTCAAATAAGGCATCCAGGCGTGCCTATGATTGGACGGTCGGGCTATTGGGCTGTGCTGCTGCTTCGTTTCGCAAGATTCTTGGGGCTGACGCCGAGAATCGGGGCACACGTCCGCCACAAGCCCAGCCACATCGGAAAATCAACGCCACGTCACGCCAGAGCAAGCATCTCTGAATTCCTTGCTTCCTTTCCGCTGCTTGCTTGCCTGATGCTGGTCTGCTAGCTGAACTGAATTTATAAAACAGTATCTGGTGGAGTCCTGAGTCAATTGTAGTCAGGCTGGGTCAGCTGCTATTAGTGTCATCCCCTGCCATTGGTTCCTCCTAACTTAGCAGTCGCGTTTTCTTTTTTTGTTCTGAGCTCGCCAAGCCTCGTCAAGTCAGTTGCTTTCTCGTGAAAGCTAAGCATGGCGAAGTCGAAGACGATTCTCGTGCTCAATGCCGGGAGCTCGTCTCTCAAGTATGTCTCTTATGCTTCCCAGTCCATGAACCGCCTGCTGTTCTGAAAAAACCTTGATCTCCACCGCGGTGAATTTTAGCAGACTTAAAATTGACACTCGTTTTACAAGAAAGCAATGCCGTTACTATCCAGCCTGGCATTTTACTATCCAGCCTGGCATTTTATTTATGCCTCCTTAACCAAAGCGCTTTGTTTCGTCCCTCCATGTTCACGTGTCTGAAGGTACGCGCTGTACGAATTCGCGGATGCGCTGAAGGCGAAGCTGGCGGTGTCGGGTCTGGTGGAGCAGATCGGTACTCCCAAGGGCGTCATCACGCACAAGGCCCTCGCCACCAACCAGACCGTCCATGAGGTCAGTCGTCGTCACTTCCGTCGCCTCCGTCGCGAATTGTGCAGCCACCTCCGATTAATCCGCTCTTTTCCCTCTCTCCACAACCTCCTGTTCAGCCATCCTTCTCATTCGTTCAACTACTCAGCTGTCTGCGTGTTTCTTTGCCCTCGCTGTCTTATTTTACTATTCTTCAGAAAGCGGTGTTCAGCGACCACAAGGAGGCCATGTCGCACGCGCTGAAGCTGATGGGGATCAGCAAGGGCAGCAGTGCGGTTACGGCAGTGGGGCACAGAGCGGTGCACGGCGGTGAGGAGATCAACAAGTCGTGCATCATCACGGATCACGTGAAGGACGTGCTCAAGAAGTTCACGCCACTCGCCCCGCTGCACAACCCTCCCAACCTCCAGGTACACTTTGAACCGCACTGGACCGCACAGACAGCACAAACCTCACGGAACTGCACGGAAGTGCTCTGAATCTCATGCCACTCTGCTGTACCCCACTGAAGCGCTGCAAATATTCACATGCGGACAAGTTTCTGAAATCGATAGAACCTGATCCCGATGATCATGAACGGTGAGAGATGGACGATACACTCATACATACACTCCCACCCATGCAGGCTACCTTAGACCTTGCAAGCACGCAGACTCACAACACACCTCGCATAGCCCCTCAAATTCTCAAGGACCGGGCCATTCACCAGATCCGTCCGTGGGTTTATCCAGGTGTGACCCATATCTCGTCCCACTCCACCTTTCTCTCTATGTTCCGTGTCTGACTTCCCAATCCTCGGACCATCACCCATTTCCCATCCTATTTCATCTTCCCACCCCACCCCTCCCTCCCCCCCCCTCATTGCTGCCATGGGTCGCTGGACTGTCCGCAGGAGGTTTGCTGAACTTGTGAATCCAAGCTCCGCCCACTGTTCCTCCCTTACCCACCTGCCTTCCCACCTCTCCTCCCTCCTTTTTCCGTTTATATCTCCTCTCACCCATTATGGCGGCAGCACAGGAGCCCTATGCGGAACCTGCCGAACCTGCCTGACTGCATTCTCACCGTTTCTTTCATATCCCTATCTCCTCTTCCCCCTCTCCCCCCCCCCCCCCCCCCCCCCCCTCCCTCTCCCCCCCACTGCCATGGGCAGGGCATGGCGGTGGCGCAGGAGCTGCTGGACTGTCCACAGGTGGCTTTCTAAACTGCCAGATCCAGACTCCATGCGCTGTAACTGCCTACCTGCCTGCCTGCTTCACCTCCGTTCGTCCCTCCATCTTCAATCTCCTCTCCATCCCCCGTATCCACCTTTCTTCGCCAGGGCATGGCAGTGGCGCAGGAGCTGCTGGACTGTCCGCAGGTGGCGGTGTTTGACACGGCGTTCCACAGCACCATCCCGCCGCACGCCTACACGTACGCGCTGCCCTACCGCCTCTACAAGGAGCTCGGCGTGCGGCGGTATGGTTTTCATGGCACCAGCTACATGTACCTGCTGCGGGAGACGGCGAGGCAGCTGGGGAAGAAGGAGAGCGAGGTGAACATGATCACGCTGCACCTGGGAGCCGGTGCCAGCATGGCGTGCATCAAGGAGGTGAGCGGAATCTGCAGAAAGGAGTTGCTTTTAGAGACGATTGTTCAGGCACCTTAAATAGTGACCAGCTGGGGAAGAAGGAGAGCGAGGTGAACATGATCACGCTGCACCTGGGAGCCGGTGCCAGCATGGCGTGCATCAAGGAGGTGAGCGGGTCACACTATGGTTCTTTGTGTGTGTTGGCTTGAGTTCAGTTGCCATTTCCTTCCTGTTCACCTGGTGTGAAAGATGTGGCGATGCGACGCGCATTCCTCGTTGTTCAGTTTTCCTCCTTCTCCTCCTTCCTAATCTTTCCCTGGGTGTGTGCAGGGAAAGTGCATTGACACGACTATGGGAGTAACCCCACTGGAAGGACTCGTGATGGCCACCCGGTGCGGAGACATCGACCCAGCCATCCCCAAGATCCTCTCAGACCTGCAGGGCCTCTCACCCGCTCAGATCGACTCTCTCCTTAACAAGGAGTCCGGCCTGGTTGGCATCTGCGGGGACAAGGACATGAAAGCAGTTGTAGACCGCACTGAGGCTGCTGAAGCTCTGTGCATACCTGCAGGGGATGACCTGGAGGGAGGTGGTCGGCACCGGCTTGCTCTTGAGGTGTTTGTGCACCGGGTGAGGAAATATCTAGGAGCGTATTTGGTTCAGCTGGGAGGGAAGGTGGACGCTATTGTGTTCAGCGCAGGGATTGGGGAGAGATCGGCGCCGGTGCGCGCGCGTGTGTGTGCGGGGTTGGAGGCATTTGGGATTGAGGTAGATAAGGCGAGAAATGAGGAGGCGAGCAAGGGTGCGAGGGAGATCTCGGTGGCAGGGGCGAAGATCAAGGTGATGGTTGTGCCGACTGATGAGGAGCTGTGCATTGCACAGGAGACCCTGCGTGTGGTTGACGAGGCTCGCAAGGAAGAGTAGATAGGAAGCAAATTGCTCTCTGCAATAGCATGAATATTTACAAACGTGGCATTCTTTTATACGGTAGTTGTGCTAATTATACAGTACATGCAATTGCTCAAGCTGATCAGTTGAACGGGAACATAAAATTTGTATTTCTCTCAATGACAATGCCACATGATTCTGCATTCACTCAGGCCAATAGCCGGGCATAAATTCGTGACGTGGCACCTGGTGGTCCTTTCCCTTGGGAATTCCTCAACCACGAATAGCCCGTTGCTGACTTTGAAACACCCGCGCTGGGTTTCCCGCCTTGTTGCTGCTCAGCTTCTGCCTTCTCACAACTAGTTGTGATGATCAGGTGCTTTTCCTCTAGCATCTAGAGGTAAAAGCAGGAGCCAGGCTCCATCTCCTTCACTTGAAACTCTGTCGTTGTTCGCGGAGACGGGCAAGCTCTGAAGAGTGCGGCGAAGTGCCGCTGTTTGGACTATCGTCTTGGCACTGAGACGCTCATACGTGCTGAGACCGCGAACGTCGTTCGTCGTTCCATGTCAACCAGTATGAACTGGACGGCGGCTGGCCGATGCGTGCCGGCGCTGAGAGTCGCAGCCGTGCGTCTGCGCCAATCGATGCTCCCCGCTCAGGCGATTCGCCGCCTCAGCAGTCCCGCGTCGCCTGAAAGCATTGCCAGATGCACGCAAATAAGAATCGACGGCTGTAGACGATCGATCCACGGCTTTGGCCAGCAGCGGGTTTTGCGGAGACATCTGGATCACTCATCGAGAGTCCTTGCACACGTGGCACCTGCTGATAGGCTGAGTCGCAATGTACGCTGCTTGGCTTCTAGCGCAAGTGGCGACGGCGGAGCGACGGCTGGAGCCGAGTCAGCAGTTGCGGACGTGGCAGCCGCTTCGGCAGCAGAAGCAGTAGCTGGCGTGGAACAGTCGAGTGAGCAGAAAGCCGAGAGCGGGGCTGCTGGGAGCGGAAATGCAGGCGCGGGGAGGCGCAAGGAGCGGCGGATGGTGAAAGAGTTCAAGAAGCGGTTGAGAATCGCGGATATTAAGAACGGACCGGACGAAGGGATGGATCAGGTATGAATGGAGGGAGGATTATATGAGATGCGGTGGTATATGTCATGATGTGTGTGACTGTGTCGCTGTGAGTGCAGCTGAGACGGTTCTGTTTAAGGAGATCTAGATGGGTTTTGCGAGTGAATGCTTCAAGTGGTCTCGTTTTGTTCCCAGTCTGTGTGTCCAGGATGGAAATGTATACGATAGGATTGAATTTTCTGTCAGTGAATGCTGTCTGGGTGGTTTGTTGTTGCCCAATTGTATGCAGGTTGGGCGTCACGTGGAGCTCCGTGGTTGGGTGCGGACTGTGCGCTCTCAAAAGGCCTTCTCTTTCATTGAGGTGAGTGCATCTTATGCGACGTAATGTGATGTGATGTAGTGTATTGCGAGGTAATGTAATGTGATATAATGTGATGAGATGTGACGTAATGTAATGTGATGTGATGGCAAAACGCCTGACAGTGCTTTCACCTTCACACTCCTCCTCTCCTCCTGCTCTATTTTCTTTCTCCCTTTCGTTCTTCCTGCGTCTCGTATCGCCAGTCATGCTGTTAACCCTCAACCTTCTGTGTCTCCGCACCCTCCTCTTTTTCCTCGTCCCCATATTGGTCCTGTTCCCTTACACTACTCTTCTCGCCTTTCCCCCTCCCCACCTGTTCCCCCACACAACTCCTCTCCCCTTCCCTCTCCCACATGTTCCCGCGCTCTACTCCTCTCCCCCCTCGCCCACCTGTGCCCGCCATCCAGCTCAACGACGGTTCATCCCTCTCAGGCATTCAAGTGGTAGCAACACCCGAGATTGAAGGCTATCAGGAGGTAACAACAGACGGCTATCAGGATGTAACAACAGACGGCTGTCAGTAGGTAGTAACAGAACACTGCCAAGAGGTAACGACCGAAGCAAATTAGGAGGTGTCAACAGAAAGCCCACCAGGAGGTAGAAACAGGTAGGCGTTCAGGGAGCTGACACTAGGTACGACCTGGGTAGACAGTAAAGCTGGGCGGCACAGAGAGTCTAACTACTCGCAACCACCCGTGAAAACAATTCCTGTGGTATTCCTTCTCTCCTGGCTTGTGGTGAAGGAAGGGAGGAACCTGGAACAGTGACTATTCCTTCTCTCCTGGCTTGTGAGCTAGAGAGCAGTGACTTCACCAATTCCCACGTTCCAGGCTTCCGAGCTCGCCTTCTTGAAGTTCATTGCTCCATGCGATGTCCTTCCTTGCTCCTCCTCCGTTCTGTTCTCTCTCCCTGCTCTTTTTGCATGCGTGCTCGTCCTCTCCCCTGCGGTCATCCCTCGATTTCCACCAGGTGGAGGGGGGCGGCATAACCACGGGGGCAGCAGTGTCAGTGGAGGGCGAGGTGGTGGAGAGTCAGGGCAAGGGCCAGAAGATCGAGATCAAAGCCCAAAAGCTCACTCTTGTAGGTGTTGCTTATTGTTGCACAGCGAGAGTGAGCATGTGCTCCTCTTTGAATTCAAGAGGGTGCCTTCATGCAGTGCAGGTAATGGGCGCACAACACAAGCTCCCTCTCGTTCTAGGCACCTGCAGCATGTATGCATTACCTTCAGAGGAAGGTGGTCACTAGTCGTCCCCATTGTCAGGGCGATTCCCCATTTCGTGCCTCCTTTTTATCCAGTGGGGGTTCTGTCATCAACGCCGTGTCAGACACTGTTGGAAAGAACGAACCCTCTTTTCTCCATGCATGTATGTTCTCATGCCCTCGTTTCCTTTCGAATGGTCCTTCCCATCTGCCTCTCTCTCAGGTGGGTGGCAGTGATGGCAGCACGTACCCTCTGCAGAAGAAGCGGCACTCCTTGGAATATCTTCGCACCATTGCACACCTCAGACCCCGCACCAACACCATTGGCGCTGTGAGTTGATCATACCAAGGGGTGGGGACATATGGGAAGGTTTGTGAGACACAGTAAAAGAAGAAGTGGCATTGATTGGAGTAAGAAGAAGAAGACTTGACACAGTATCTCCGCACCAACACCATTAGCGTTGAAAGCTGTTCAAGGGATGTGGTGGGAAGTGTGGAAAGAGCCGACTTTTGAGTCGACTCAAAAGTCAGCTCGGTAAAGTCAGCTTTTGAGTCGACTCAAAAGTCAGCTCGGTAAAGTCAGCTTTTGAGTCGACTCAAAAGTCAGCTTGACACAGTATTTCCGCACCAACACCATTAGCGTTGTAAGCTGTTCAAGGGATGTGGTGGGAAGTGTGGAAAGATTTCTTATCTGCTACATCGGCCCATTGCTTCTGCGTTTTTTCTTCGGTCCTTATCCACAAGGATTTGTGTGGATAACGTGGTTTATTATTGCTCATCCCTCTTCCTGTCCTCACGAATCCCACCTCACCTCAGGTGTCTCAAGTGTGCAGTGTGCTAGCACAGTCATCCCACCGCTTCTTCCAGTCACATGGCTTCGTGTGTGGGTGGGTGGCAATAGCATTGTCTATTCCCTTACCACTTCCCCCCCACCCCACCACTCCCCCACCCACTCCAGGTGTCTCGAGTGCGCAGTGCGCTAGCACAGGCCTCCCACCGTTTCTTCCAGTCACACGGCTTTGTGTGGGTGGCATCGCCCATTATCACTGCATCCGATTGCGAGGGAGCTGGCGATCAGTTCCGAGTAACCACGCTGGTGGGTGGGAATGGGTGATTGTGGGTGGAGGTGGGGGTGGGTGGGTGTGGGTAGGTGCTGGGGAAAGGATGCATGCATGTGTGTGGGGGAGTGGGGGGCAGTATGATGGCACGGCTCACCATCACTTCTTCAGACTGTGAAGGGGTAGGGTAGGTAATCATTTCACTGTCACCCCCCCAGTCAGGTAATCAGTTTCATTTGAAGTGACCACGCTGGTGGTTGGGGAGGCGGCTGGTCGGGTGTGTGCTGTGCTGTGCTGTGCTGTGCTGTGCTGTGCTGTGCTGTGCTGTGCTGTGCTGTGTGTGGGCGACCATGGCTGTGGGATTCAAGGCAGTCGACTGCAGCAGCCACCCATGCGCTTCAAGTGCTGCCCCTCTCTTCACCCTTCCCTGCTCTCCTGTTGCACAGATGAACTGCAAAAGTTTTTTGAGAATTCGCAAAAAAAGTTTTTTGAGAATTCTCAACAAAAGTTTCTTGAGAATTCTAAAAAAACATCCTCTCTTCACCCTTCCCTGCTCTCGTGTTGCACAGATGAACTGCAAAAGGTCCGCCCTTGGCTCTATCGCTATGGCCGTCTTTCTCCATTCCATTCCGACTCCCTTATCTGCCAACCAGCCACCCCCCAAGTGCCTCCTCTCTGCGACATCACCATATCCCCATGCTCCCCCTCTCTCCATCCCCGTTATTGTCCTTCCCCGTTCGATTCCATTCTGTCTCCCTCAGCTACTAGGCAACCCAGATGCGTCCACGCCAGTGAAGGCCATCCCCACCAACAAGGACGGATCCGTGGACTGGTCCCAGGTGAATGACGTGGCACAGGTGAATGACGTGGCACAGGTGAATGACGTGGCACAGGTGAATGACGTGGCACAGGTGAATGACGTGGCACAGGTGAATGATGTGGCACAGGTGAATGATGTGGCACAGAAAATGTGTGATGTGATGTTATGCAGTCAGGGGACTTAGGTGAGCGTGAAGTGCAGGGTCATGCATAGTACATTGCCACGAAGCCACGCTGCCTCTGTCTGTCGTGCCTCTTTGTAGATCCAGTTACAGACGATGCACACAATGTAGATTCAGAGTGTAGACAATGCGTACTCTACCTGACCGTCGCGACCCTGCATTCTTCTGTACCGCACTATACCGTGCATGTGTTTTGCGTGCATGCCACAGGATTTCTTCAAGCGCCCGGCGTATCTCACGGTGTCAGGGCAACTGAATGCGGAGATCTACGCGTGTGCCCTGCACGATGTGAGTGAGAATGTGCTCGTTGCATCCTCCGCCATCCCACCTTCCGTATAAATCCCTTGATGGCACTGTGAGGCGATTTGTTAGTTTCCTTGATGAGACACCGCATACCCTGCAGTGTCAGGGCAGCTGAATGCGCTGCACGATGTGAGTGGCAATTTTCTCCATAGGCTCGTCCATTTGTTTCGCTCGGTCTTTTCTAGTATTCTCAACAACACCCTTCAACATCTACGCGTGCGCCCTGCATGAGGTGAGTGAGACCATGCTCCTTCGCACCTCCTCCCTCCCTCCTTGCTCCACCTGCAAAATGCTTATGGGCACCGTATGCAAACAACTGTCACATCCCTCACTGTGTCACGGCAGCTGAATGACTTTTGAGGCGCCTCAAAAGTTGTCACGGCAGCTGAATGTGGAGTTGAACGCGTGTGCGCTGGAAATCCCTCAGAATGGTGTCCCTCTTTTATCCACGTCTCTCCCCTCCACCCCCTCCCCAGGTGTATACGTTTGGTCCCACCTTCCGAGCAGAGAACTCTAACACCTCACGCCACCTCGCCGAGTTCTGGGTATGCCTCATCAAATTTGGTTTGCCTCACTAATTTCTGTAGCACCATCTCTAACCATTTTTCCCATTTCACTATATTGCTGTCTGCCCATCCCTTAGGCTCCAGTTTTCAAACCACCTCACATTGGCTTTCCCAACTTGCCCATTCCTTTCCATTTTCACTCACCCTTCCCTCTTACTCTCATCACTTTCTCGTCCCTTCCTTCCCTCCCCACCACGCCGCTTAAAACTTCTCATCCTCGTCACCATCAGATGATCGAGCCTGAGCTGGCATTTGCTGACCTGGCAGATGACATGGCATGTGCCACGGCATACCTCAAGTACATTGTGAGCGCATCACAGCACAGAGGGAATGCATGCACCCATGGGCACGTGCATATGTGCACCTCTGCACCCATGCACCCCACGGCATACCTTAAGTACATTTTCAGCACACCATGCATGCATGTGCCCGTGCGCACATACGGCTTTGCACCGTGCACCCATGTGCACATGCACTAAGAGGAGGTTTGGCCTGCTAATCTGTCCCTGCTAAGACTGCTATGCCTGCCACTAGCCAAAGCTCGTACGGCTGTTATGAATCTGCAGGCTGTTAAGCAGCCTGTACTGTCTTACTTGCCATCTTACGTTTCAGCCTCCCTGCTTTCCCTGCTCCATTCCTCTTGTTTCTCTTCTTCCAACCTCATCTCCCACTCATGTTTCCCTCACCTCCCTCCCTTTTTCACACTCTCCTCACGCTCCTCCCTCCTCTCTCGTCCCTTTCTCCACCGTCTCCTCTCGTTTCTTTCCCCTCCTTCCAGCTTCAAGAGGCCATGAGCGAGTGTGCGGAGGACTTCAGATTCTTTGACAAGTTTGTCGAGCCGGGGATCATCCAACGGCTCACGGTGAGCGATGGAACCAGATGACTCCTCCACCCTTGTACCCACATCTTCCTTCGTTGCATGTGCCCTGATCCGCGATTCCACCTCTTTCCATGAACATCGTTCTCTGTTTCCCTTTTTGTCTCCATCTGCCAAGGGAATGTATTGAATCCACCCTTTCCTCCACAGTCATGCTCTCTCCACCCATCTCCCCTTCCGATGTCTCGATATCCAATCACTGGAAGAGAGTGAGTTTGATAACGTGCCTTGACGTGTACTTTGACTTGGCTCGAATTGAACCGCCCTGTTTCCCTGTGCCCTAATCCCGCGCTCCATCTCTCCCATGTCTCCATGTTCCCAACCCTCCAGTCAGTGGTGGAGAGTGAGTTTGAGCATGTGCCATACACGGATGCCATCAACATTCTCCAGAAGGCCAAGACCAAATTCGACTACCCGGTCAGTGGTTTGTCGAAATTATCCAGTCTGGAGGCTCTGTCACACGCAATCATTTCTGCTCACATGTGTGTATGCCCATTTGTCCAATTGCCATGTCCCACATGCCTATGCTATTTGACATAACCCTCGTTTGCCATGCATGCAGGTGGAGTGGGGCATTGACCTGCAGAGCGAGCATGAGAGGTACCTCACAGAGAAGGCCTTCAAGAACCGACCAATCATCGTCACCGATTACCCCAAGGTGAGTAGTCCAACTTTCTAAAAAGGGGGGGGGGGGGGGGGGGGGGGGTTGGGGGCACACCGAGAAAGCATTCAAGAAATGATTCATCCATTCACCACTCCCCCCTTCCCTCCTCCCTCCCCCCCCCCCGCGGGGCACATGCATCAGGACATCAAGGCGTTTTACATGCGCATCAACGATGATGGCAGGACCGTAACCCGGTGCTGCAAGCAACAGGCCCCCCCGCCCACACTTCCTCGTGCCTTTCTGCTCTCCTCGCCCGTCTCCCCTCTCCCCGACACATACACCAGGACATCAAGGCGTTCTACATGCGCCTCAACGATGATGGCAAGACTGTTGCAGCCATGGATGTGCTGGTGCCCCGGGTGGGCGAGCTGATAGGAGGCAGTCAGAGGGAGGAGCGGCTGGAGGTGTTGGAGGGGCGCATGAGGGATGTGGGCCTCGACCCGCAGGCCTACTGGTGGTACCTCGACCTCCGCAGATACGGCTCAGGTGGGTTCCGTGCGGTTCAGGTTGTTCTGATGCGGTTTAAATGGGCTTGGTGCGATTCAGGTCGTTTGGAGGTGGTTCAAGTGTGCCTGAACCAGTCAAATCCCCTTCTTCCCCTTCTCCATGCGACCCGCCATTAGGGGTTTTGGCTGAACTTTTAAGGTCTGATCCGGTGCAGCTTGCAACAATGGCTATTTTGACATGCACATACCTGTTATGCATTTCTCTTACGGTATCCATCTTGGCTGTCTCCCGCTCCTCTTCCTTTTCTCCTCACAGTCCCCCATGCGGGATTCGGGCTGGGCTTTGAGCGACTGGTGCAGTTTGCAACTGGCGTTGAGAACATTCGCGATGCCATCCCCTTCCCCCGCGTGCCTGGATCCGCTGACTTCTGATTTCCAAGGGGCTTACCGTTCTCTCTGAAAATGGATTATTATCAACGAATATTATTCCCAATGAGCTTAGGCATGAAATGTCGTGTTAATTATCGTTCTACATCAAGACATTTGGAGGGTAGAACTTGAATGCGAGGGTCATTCCAGTTGGATTTGATGAAAACATAGGAAGCTGGATTCATCCCGGAGATAAATATTATTGCAATTAAGCACTGAAAGCAGTAACTGCGAAAAGGTACCGTAACGGGCGAAGCTGTGTAACGACAACTAAAGACTTTCGTCAAGAATTCATTCTGGTTGTTTTCCAACACACCTGTTTTGTGCTGAGTTCTCGTTTTCTACTCCTACAGCTCCTTGCACGCACCGCTCAAACGTTCAGGAGCGAGAACCATAGGAGCAAGCTTGTACGAAGTAAGCAGCCGCCTGGATATATGGTATTTGTTCCAGGTGCGTGCGTGTTGGGTCACGAAAATTCCGATTTCGTCCTAGTCGCATCGCCCCTCTCGCGTGTGCCGCACCCACCTTCAACTGCCTGCGAAGGTCTCGCAGGCTCGCGTGTCCACTTTTAGGGTTACCGTTACGCCTCAGCAGTCCTCGTACTGCGGTGGAAAGACGGAAGTGTTAAGCGAAGGGGAGAGAACGGGGAACACGAGGGCGAGGCGAAGGGCAAGACTAGTGGCAGGAAAGGCGGCTAGGGGAGGGCCATTCCGTGCGGGTCGGCCGAGACCGTGGCACGGCAGCAGGATATAGCTTCGCATGGTGGGTGTTTCGCATGGGGGGTACGTGTTGTCCTGGTTTTCCTGATATCAGCCTCATTCGCGTTTGTGTCGGATTCGTTTTTTATTTCTGCCCTCTCGTTCCCAGTTGTTCTGGGACTTGAGCGACATTTGAGGTGCCTCAAATGCTGTTCCAAGACTTCAGCGAGGCCTTTTGAGACGTCTCAAAAATACACTTCTTTCGTTTGAGGCGCCTCAAGTGCTGTTCCAGGACTTTAGCGAGGCCTCTAAAAGAAGGCGCTCGATCTTCCTCATCCATCCCCGCTTTGCACGCATCGTTGTCACGACCGTTCCACAAGCTCAAGGAAGCGAAGTGGCGCGGCGCAGAGGGAGCCACGCGAGCTATCTGGCGTTGACAATAACTCTTTATCCCCCCCCGTACCTAATTGTCTCAATCCCATATCACCATCACAGGCGTCGCGTTCGCGACTATTTAAGGAGTTGAAGGAGGCGCAGAAGGAAGCAAAGGGATCAGCCGATGGTGACATCATCCTCAGCTGTGATGAGAGCAACATTTACAGATGGACGGCCCTCATCAAGGTAGTGTTGAGTGGACGGCTGTGGTGAAATTACAGATGGACGGCCCTGATCAAGGTAGTGTTGAACGGACGGCTGTGACGTGACAAACGTTTTCAAATGGACGGCTCTCATCAATGTACCATACCTACTGTTCACGGATACCCCTTTCTTCTCTCTGTGTGCCATGTTTTATGTTCAACACTTCAATCCTTACCACTAATGGTGGGATCGAGGTTTGGGCCACTCAAAGCGTGTCATTCTTGTTCACATTAGCATCCGCCTTTGTCTTTCGCCACCTTAAAGCCAGGGTCTCACGTAAGCTAAGGAGCCATCAACTGCAAAACAGTTGAAGCTAGGTTACCTAGTTAGTGCAGACGAAGTCCCCTCTGGTTGGGTTTGAAAAGTCAGCTTGCGAGACACCCCATCATTGCCGCAGAAGCAATCGCAAAAGGCATTTTAGGTTTGGCTCGAACCAAGTTTCCAAGCCTAGAAGGTTCGGATACAGTCAGCGATTTGAGTTCGCTTCGCACCCCTCGCTTTTCCCCACTTCAAACCTTACACCAATCACAGCCCAACTTTCACCATTAATTGCAAAACACTTGTAGTACGTGTGAACCTTGTTTTAGTCATACCCAACTTAATCATAATCCTAATAATTCCTATACCCCGCGTAAATCACCCCCCGCGTGAATGTATAGGCCCTACCATGAAGCCCAGGGTCAACCAGCGTGTTGCCTCGTTTAATTCACCTCTAACCCTCTACTTACCCGTGTCCCCCCTGCTCCTTTCCCAGGGCCCAGCTGACACACCGTATTTTGGAGGGCAGTTTAGCCTCACCATCAACGTGCCGCAGCAATACCCCCTTGTGCCGCCCCAAGTGCGGTTCGCTACCAAAGTCTTCCACCCCAACGTGCATTTCAAGGTCAGTCAACGCTGAGTCAACTCAAGTCAACCAAGGTCTTCCACCCCAACGTGCACTTTAAGGTCAGTCAACTCCGAGTCAACTCAAGTCAAACAAGGTCTTCCACCCAAACGTTCACTTCAAGGTCAGTCAACTCCAAGGCAATTTCAGTCAATCAGGGTCTTCTATCCCAGCGTCAAGCCAAATTAACCATAGTCACAAAAACCAGGAAATCTGAATTAGGTTTCCGCCAAACCAGTATGGTCTCTTCTAGGTACTGCCACAGTCAATCATTGCTGCTAACTGCTGTCAGTGTGCCATGTGCATTGTAGCTCTGTAAAGCATTCATGCACCATCCTCCAACCTCCCTGCTCCCTACCCCTGTCTCTCTTCCCTCTTCCCTCCCCAGGGTGAGGCGGAGGCTCCAACCTTCCGCCTCGCCCTACCACCCAGACAGGGGTGTCGAGACGGCAGGGGTGCCACCCAGACGGGGGTGATCTGTTCGGACATTCTCAAGACCGCATGGAGCCCTGCTTGGACTTCCACATCCGTGTGTCGAGCCATCGTCACTCAGTCCTTTTTTTCCTCTCCCTCCCTAATTTTGACCACCCTCACCACTGTCCCCCGTCCATCCACGCCCTACCACCCAGATGGGGGAGATCAGCTTAGACATCCTCAAGACCGCATGGAGCCCTGCTTGGACCCTCACGTCTGTGTGTCTAGCTAGCCGTCATCACGCTGTCCCTTTTTTTCCTCTCCCCTGCAACTTGTAGCGAGGGTGTTTTTGAGACGTCTCAAAAACACCCTCGCTACACGTGGCTTTTTTCCTCTCCCTTGCAACTTTCGCTCCCCCGTCGGCCCTCCCCCCCCTCCATCCGCGCCCTGCCATGCAGACGGGGGAGATCTGCTTAGACATCCTCAAGACCGCATGGAGCCCTGCTTGGACCCTCACGTCTGTGTGTCGGGCCATCATCACTCTCCTCTGCCATCCTGAGGCGGACAGCCCCTTAAACTGCGACTCAGGTGAGACGCATCGGACCAATAGAGTCAAGCAAGTCGTTCTCCATTGGGGACCTTATCACATCAGTGTGTCGAGCCATCATCACTCTCCTCTGCCACCTGAGGCCGACAGCCCGTTAAACTGCGACTCAGGTGACGCATGTTGCACGGGTCTTGTGTACATTCCAGCCTTGTCCCAGTATCCATGTGTCCTGTCGAGTCCTTCTAGTCTCTTCTTCAGTCCCTCGGATGTCTCTCCTCCACCAGTCCCTCGGATGTCTCTCCCCCTCGTGATCGTACCGCCCCTCGTGTGCTTTCCCCATGGGTCCGCATCCCTTTGCAGGCAATCTGATTCGAGCGGGGGACAACAGAGGCTACTGCTCCATGGCTTGCGTTTGGGAGTTTGCCAAGGTGACGCCCATGTGTCTCTTCTTGTGAACATGTACCCATTCTTGTGTGTTTCCCCCATGGGTCCGCATCCCTCTGCAGGCAATCTGATTCGAGCGGGGGACAACCGAGGCTACTGCTCCATGGCTCGCATGTACACTAAACTTCACGCCATGCCGCCCGCAGCCAGATGAGGTCCGTTTGGCTCGCATGTACACTCCACGCCATGCCGCCCATATATTGTAATATGAATCTCCAGGGTGTCCTGTCCCGTTCCATGTAGCTTGCATGTACACTATACTCCACACCATGCCGCCCGCAACCAGCTGAATCTTGGAGGTGCTAGATGTTCCCTGTGGCTCGCATGTACACTAGACTCCACGGCACGCCGTAGGCAACTTGGAAGGCGTCGGCATCAGGTGTCCGGGTCATGATGTGCATGAGTTATTTCTGCAAGGGCACTCAAAAATAAATGTGATGTTTGTTGCAAGTGATACCTAATAATAAGTCAGTGGATCAGCTGAGCAATAGATTTGCCCGTGCCAACAGAACTGTGGGAGCTGTCCCGAATTTACGCCACATGTAGGTGCATTTGGATTACACCATCGGAATTGTGGTAACATAGGAGTACCGTAAACCCCCGGATATAAGACCCCCTCCAGTTGTAGACCCCCGGGTCAATAATACGGGGGGGGGTACTCTATTCAAGTCCATCCGGGTTATACCCCCCTAAATGGCATCTGACTTTATAAGACCCCCCCCCCTCCCACTGGCGACCTACCATCAGCCTTCGGATATACACGTTTCTTTAGGGGGTGCGCTTAAAATCGAGGATTTTCATAAGTGTCGGCCCATATATGATGACATACCGTATATGAAATCTGTTTTTTCTTCACCAATCAATACATCTCATTCTTACAATTTGAATCGAGTCGAAACTATACGTGGATCTGGTGGAGAATATCGAGCAAGTTGGCAGGGAATGATTTCTTGCCGGCGCGAACAGTAAAGAATGAGCCAATTTTCGCGCCTGACATCTCATTCTGACTGGACATGCTGGTAGTGAACTGAGCGAGGGTCAAGGATCTTGAAATTCAAGACTTCCAACTAGATTTCGTGATGACGTGCACTTGATCCTCGTCGAGACAATTTCGCATATTTTTTTGAGGTGCTAAAAACGGAGCACTTTCCATTCACTTGTCTAAGTTCAAAAACATGTGTCTTAAAAAATACATTTTGTAAAGACCCGGGTCTTATAAAATATATGCCATTTATTTAGACCCCCCCATTTTTTTTGGTGTGCATAGCATAATACCCCCGGGTCTTATATCCGGGGGTTTACGGTATTTCAAGTGGTGCATTGTACGCCAGCAAGCTGTCAGTGGTCAAGTGGCCAGGTGTCAATTAAGCACGTCCCCATGTGGCCAGGTGTCACTTGGAGAGTTGTCGCTCCACTTCCTCCAGAGATATTTGAGTGTGTAGCTGTTTGGGGGTTGGTGGTGTGGGGGTGTGTGTGGGTGTGAGGTTTCTTGAGACAGACCTCAACAAGGGCATCAAATTGATGCGTGTAGCTGTGTGGGGGGTTGGTGGTGATGGGGGGTGGTGGATATGGGAGCGAAAGGGGGATGGAGAGTTAAGTGTGTGGAATACAGCAAGAGGCGTGTGGCATGGATGGCATGGCTGCATGCTAGCATGGTTGACATGGCAGCATGAAGGCACCATGGCATGGATTGTGCGTGCATCATGACGTGGCATTGTGCCATGACACGCCTGCTTTTACTCGTTGAATCGTCAATTATCTGGGCCTACACAAACCGAGACTGTACCTCCCTAACAACCCTACCACCTTCACAAACCTCTGAGGCTCGGTGTCTCCGTACCTCCTTGGCGATTCTCAGCCAATCACAGGCTCGTGCAGGCCCATCGCCAGCCTTGGGAACTCCGTCATGGTTCCAGTAGGCGAAGGAGGAGAATAGCCCCACAGTCCGCCACTGCGCTGCATGTGGAAAAACTGCTGCCTCCTCTGCCTCTATCTCTGCCTCTGCCTCTGTCTTTGCCTCTGCCCTCCCCTCTGTATCTGCTTCTCCATCTACCGGTATCCCTTGCCCTCTTTTCCCGTCTCTGGCGTTAGGGCTGCAGGTCCCTTCCATTCCCTCTCTCGTCCTAGCGCCATCCATGGCCTGTCGTTTGAAAGGAGGTTCCACAACAGCTGCTGCTGCTGCTGCTGCTGCATCTGCTCTTCCCTTCTCCATTTTCTCCAATACAAGGCCTGCGGAAGCAGAGGACGATACAGGGACGTCAGGAGAGCTGGTCCTAGCAACGTCCATGGCTCGTCATTGAAATCTAGGGTTTCATTTCGTGCTGGTTGATGGTAAAGTTGATGTACGGAGAGGGGGAGTAGGAAACGCATTCGTCAGCCTTAGATTTCAACATCACCTGTATAGCCGTCAGGAAGGGCTAGGCGCCTTCCCAGAAGCCTCCTGCCTCTGAATGCGGCTTCCAACGGCACAGTGCCATCCGCCATAGTCACATCTGCGATTATGTCAGCAAACGTCGAATGGAATTGTCAGATTGTTGCGCAATAGCGAATCAAGTGAATATTCGAGCGAAGCCACCAGAACGAACAGGAACCGCCTGCGAATTCCAGGAGTAAAGTTACAACCTTTGGCGTCAAATGGACGGAAAAAACGCGATACGGCAGCTGGTCCGTTGTGCTCAATGCAGCAGGGCAGGAGATGCACGTCAACGTCAACGTCAACGTTTGACTCAGAAACTGGCGTCTGACAGTTTCGACGGTGAGTGGTATTGCTGATCGCCCTAATTTCGTCGGTTATGTCCATTGCTGGCTGAGGGAAGATGGACGAAGCGGAGGCCAATCACACTACTCGCAGAAATCCGATAAAATGAGAGCTGGGAGGGAGATGAGGAGGAGTAGATCCCAAAGAAATTGTAAGTAATTTTCCATGATTCCTTACTGGGTCACACTGAACGCGTATTTCTCAAACCCGAACCTACACCCAACCATCTCTCGACTCCGCGACTTCGGCCTAGTTAGCATCGCTATATTAGTGCGAGGCCTCATTACTTGCTCAGTAGTTGTAATTACTTCCGCGTTATTGCATTCTGCGCACTCCTCTTTTACAACTCATAACACTTGGTATCAGAGCTACTTTCCTAGGTCACAGTCGCATTTCCGGGGTAGTTTGTAGAAGGGGATCGATAGACTTAGTGGGCTGCAAAGCGGTCGGCCTGTGAAATAGATGCGATTGTTTCACTCGGACTACGGTACAGTTTGCGCCTTCACCTAAGTCATAAAAATCGCTAGCCACACTATGTCCGTTAGACGAAGCCTGCGCAACATGAATCAAGCCGAGTTTGTCGCGTTCATGTAAAAGTTTTGGGCAATGCAGGCCAACTTGCAGACCATGTCTGGGGAGGTCGAGCGTCTGAGGGTGGAAAGCGTCGAACTACGCCAGGCGCGAGGTGAAGCGCGCCAGGAGTCGCTCGTCATGAATGAAGCAAGTAGCAGCTCCACACCGAACGAGGCCGTTTTTAGCGAGTTGGAAGGCTCCATGGATGATGAAGATGAATGGCGGGCACGGCAGCAGCAGACGCCAGCAGCGTCGGGCCAACAACAACAGTCGCATCAACAACAGTCGCGTGCAGTACCGACACGTGTACCAGCGACAGCGCCGGCGACGACATCAGCATCGGCAATAGTTCCAGCGGCAATGTTAGCTTCAACAACTGTCAAGATTAAGCCGACAAACCCGCCCCCATTTAACCCGAGTGACGAATTCGTCACTGTTTCTGCATTGTTGTTTGGTGTGGAGGTGTTTTGACGACTGCAATGATTAACGACTACGCTCGACCCGCATTAATTTTGTAGTATCACTGTTACGGGGACCTGCCTTGTAGTGGTGGCGACGAACGTTGCAGAGCGAGGGGACTTCGGCAGGGATAACACGCGCGAATGACGGGACCTCGACACCTGTCACGCAACGAGCAGCTTTGATTTTCAGGACGGGCACGATACGCACATGGAAGGAGTCGGGTGCCACCTTGCGAACCAGATTAGAGCACATATCTGCCTCAGATTCTTCTCGCATGAAGCTGCGTGCCTGGAAGCAACTGACTTCGGTCCAAGACTACACTAGCACCTTCTGCAACTTGGCGGACCAAGTGGACGACATGAGCAACGCGGAGCAGTTGGATCGCTACGCGGCGGGGCTGAAATACGAGATACAGTACGAGGTCCAACGAACGCGGCCACGCACATTTGATTACGCCGTCCAAGAAGCCGAGTCAACGGATGCGTTAATGCAGTGGGCGAGATCGAGCTCCCGGAAGGGCCCTCGACTTCGTGGATTGACTCTCCAACCCACGATCAACGGCGTGGATGCGCCAAGCCGAGCAATTGGGCCGTGCTATGCATGCAACCAGCTGGGCCACCTGAGAACAGACTACCCGAAGCTTAAGCAGGGGAAGAAGAACGACGGAGAAGGGTCGGGAAAAGATACGAGTCAGTAGCAGACGGGCGCCCTACTGACGAGACCCTGTCGCCCGACAATCACCATCCACACCGAGTCGTGGTACCAATTAGAGCTATCGTCTGCACCCGGACGAATAACGTGGGTGAACACGTGGACCACCCTGTGCTAGTAGTGAGGGTTAACGGCTATAAAATAAAATTATTCGTTGACGGTGGGGCGAGCCACAGTCTCGTCAAACTGGCAACGGCAAAAAACATTGGGGTGAAGCTGAACAGGTGTCTGCCAGAGAATGACGCAAGGTTGGTGGATGGGACACCGCTGGCCATTCCAGATGAAGCGCGAAAAATTCGGATGAACTGTGGCGACAATTTCGGGTTGGCATGAATATGCTAGCGACGACTTTGGACGGTTGCGATGTACTGCTGGGACGAGACTGGCTACAGCGATACAATCCGACGATCGACTGGATGACTGGAGCGTGCACCGTGCGAGGAAATACGGGGCTGATAACGCTTCCAAAATGGACAGACCCGGAGCCTGTGACGACACGTGTCAACCCCGTCACCAAGCGGCGAGCGATCAGCAAGGGGGCCAGGGGCTACGCCGTACACCTGTGCGAGGTAGCGGCCACCGAAAAGGTCGCCGTGTCAGAATCACTAGGCAAGAATGAATGAACTAACAGAAGTTTGGGTACAAATATGAAACCCTAGTTGGGGTTGTACCCTATATTGGCTACCCCACTACAGCCTACAAGCATAATACAGTTTAACACACCCCCATAGGCAAAGTGGGGGAGAACAAAGGGTCACAAGACCAGTCCAGCAAAGCAAAGCCCAGGGTGGATCACAATGTCACCACACTCCGAGCACAAGTAAAGGCTACAAGGCCAGTTCACATGCAGTGCTAGATATAGTACAAGACAAGCAACACAGTGATCAAAACCTAGCAAGCAAGCAACAAGATATATATAAAGTACAGTACAAAGAATGTCAAGCAGTGAGCAAGTGAGGAAACGTGGACACAAGGCCTAAAGAAGTACAGTGCCGCTGATGATCACTAGGCGGGAGCGCCTTGGTGAAGATATCAGCAGTGTTGGCCTTCGAGTCCACGTACACAAGCCGAAGCTGACCGCGCTGCTGAAGCTCTCGAGCAAGAAAGTAGCGAAGAGCAATGTGCTTCGTCCTGTGCTCCAGTCTGTGCTCCTGACACAAGGCAAGAGCCGCCTTGTTGTCACCGTACAGAACTGGAGGAGAACTAGGCCGCTCTCCCAAGTCAGTCAGCAGGTAGGTGAGCCAGCGTAACTCCTGTGCAGCCATGGCTGTGGCGTAGATCTCAGCCTCACAACTAGAGCCGAGAACAGAGGAAGAGCGGGTGGACCGCCACGAGACAGAACCTGAGCCAAGGCTGAAGGTGTAACCCTGTGACGACCGCTGCGTAGCCAGGTCGTCCACCCAAGAGGCGTCCGAGTGACCAGTGAGGACAACTCTGTCGCGTCCTCCAAGCACCAGCCCCATGCCTGATGTACTGCACAGGTAACGCAGCACCCTCTTAGCAGCCTCCCAGTGCTCTCGCCTGTGTCTCCCAGGCGCAACGTAACGAGCAAGGATGCTAAGAGGGTACGCGAGGTCAGGTCGCGTGCAAGTCATCAGGTACATGAGGCAGCCTACAAGCTCTGGGTACGGGCCACTCGGCTCTACGGACTCGTCCGAAGGTGGAGCTGAGAGCGAGTGGCTGGTAGCCAGAGGTGTGGCCTGTGGTGAGGAGAACTGGAAGCCGAAGCGCTGAAGGACCTGCTGCACCATGTGTGACTGAGTCAGGGTGATGGTGCGGCGAGCTCTGTCCCGGGTGATCTGCAAGCCAAGGTAGCTACGCAGTTCACCCAGGTCAGTGCAGGTGTGTCTCTTCTGCAGCTCCGACTTCACACGAGCGAGTGCCTCAGTGTCAGCAGTAGCAAAGACCAAGTCGTCGACGTACACGAGGATGTAGAACGGCGGCAGCGACGTGTCTGTGCGCAGAAACAGCGACGGGTCAGCAGTAGACGGCGCGAACCCAAGAGCCGCAAGAGTAGTCCTCAGTGTGTCGTGCCACTCACGTGGCGCCTGGCGGAGACCGTAGACTGGCCGGCGGAGACTCCACTGGGTACCAGGGGGAAACGACCCAGTAAAGCCAGGTGGGCGGCGCAGCCAGATCTCCTCGTGCAGGCTGCCCTGCAGGAACGCTGTGCTGAAGTCAAGAGAGTGAAGCTCGTAGTCACGGTGAGCAGCAACGTGCAGCAGAACCCGAAGAGTGGTCATCTTCGGGGTGGGGGAGAAGGTCTGGAAGAAGTCGACCCCCTGACGCTGACTGAAGCCTCTAGCAACGTAACGAGCCTTGAAGACAGGCGGAGAACCTGGCGGCCGCTTCACCCTGAAAATCCACATGCCATCGACGATGTTCGCCCCAGGAGGGGGAACCTCGTCGACGTAGGTGCCTGTGGACTTCCAGGATGCCATCTCTGCGTCCATGGCTGTCTGCCACTGAGAGGAGTAGGGACCCGAGATCGCCTCTGCGTAAGTGCGCGGAGTGGGGATGTCTAGTGCATCCGGGTCTCCCTCAGGGGCAAGCAACCAGGCCACGAGATGAGGTACAGCAGCCGCAAGAGAGTCAAAGTCCTCCTGCCTGTCCTCAAGGACGTCCGTGCCAAGAGCACACTCACCCCCGACGGACGGAGGACAGACAGACGCAGACTCTGACTCAGCGACAAGGCTAGCAGCGTAGTCTAGACGACAGGCAGCAGCAAAGTCAACCAACTCAGCGACCAGAGCAGACGCAGCCGAGGACTCAAAGGTGGGGTCAGTGACAACAGTAGCAAGGAGACGCGTGACTGTAGGGTGCTCAGCGCGATACCGGTCAGACTCAGGGTCCGGAACGGCAGGCAAAGAGGACGCAGGAGGAGACGGTAGAGGGACACGCCGAGGAGCAGTAGAGGGACGCAGAGTCATGTAGTGAGTGCCTGGGACAGGAGGAGGACGCTCACGACGGACACGACTACCAGTGCGAGCAGGACGAACAGGCGACGCAGGACGAGACTCAGGCTCACGACGCTCTGTAAGACCTCCTGTGGGACCAGTATAAGGAGAGGGAGCAGGGAGAGGCGAGGCAGGCGGTAACTGTGACTGCGGCTGGACAGGCGGAGGACACTCTACGGAGGGAGGAGGACAAGGGGGAGGAGCCTGCCCAAGAACCTGCTGAAGGAGCGGTACGAAGTACGGTCGCGGCCGCGCAGCGTCTCCAGAAGCAGACGGGACTCCAGCGGCCGGGTCCTCAGCACCAGTAGGAGCTCCAGCGTCCGGGTCCACAGCACCAGC